TCGGCGAGAACACGCCTCGATGGGCCAATTGCCAAGAAGAAAGGAGGAGACGAGGCTGGAAGAGAATACAAGAAAAGACAAGACGTAAACGTCCGTGAGGAAGCTGTCCTCGGCCCCACACAGGGAAGCATGCGAGGACCATGTGTGGTGTAGAATATAGAGTGCATAGTGTTTTGGTGTGTCAGTATCCGAGTCTGTGAGGAGTCTTGCTCTCTGGCATTTGGAGTTCTCATTGGCAGGCCCGAAAGGGTGAGTGACTGGTCTGGAGGCCATGGACTCAGTGGCCCAATCATAGGCGCGGTCTAGTCAGAATGGGGTTCATCGCTGATTGTTTCCCCTCATCCTTTCATCCTTATCCCATCGTGTTATTAAAGCTGGCCCAAACCGGCAATGGATCCCTACAGCCATCCCTGTAGCTTCCTGTAGCTCCCCCTTGCACATGCCTCCGAGAATTTGCTGGGAGTCCCTTGCCACATCTTCGTGAGTGTACCTGAACAAGTGCCCCGAGCGAAAAAAGAAGCTCTTGGTTGTTTTCGAGATTGGCCGCTTGGTTCCGACTACTCAGGACCCTCCGGGTAGTACATTGTAGTAGTGTCCGCGAGACCCTTCTCGAAGAAGATAGGAGCCCCTTATTCACCGCGCCTCCAATATGGGAGCAGGGTAGAACCCGTCCAGGGCACGCAAGCTCTAGAGAATCCCACCTCATCCCATTGAGGGCAAAATGGGAACCTCACTGCAACGAACACCCCGTACAGGCAGTGATAGGAAGAGGTGTGCTGCAGCTGTCAGCCGGCTCGCGCTCCAAGGGAATGCCTGACTGCGTTTCCCTCTCTGCTCTTGTTTCGAAACGCTGGGCCGCCCGTGGCGTGTCGGTGAGCAGTCCTGAATTTGTTTCAGGTGAAAAGCTGACCAATCACAATGAGGTAGCCATCAACCACCTCGCTGATTTCCGCCGTCTTCTCTTGATTTTGCCAGTTTACTTGCGGCTGTCCGCAAAGTAACGGCAGACTAGGCACCGACGCCATGTCCGGGCGGCGCCCGGCCCTCCCCCCGACACTGTTGAGCTCATTGCTGCGCCATCATCGTCGAGCTGTGTGCATCATTGCTGAGTTGTGCTCCTGGAAAGAAGGTGTGGGGGTCTGATATCGCAAGGGGAGAAGAAGAAAGGAAGGAGAGGAGAAAAAAAAGGGGGGGGCGGGGGCACAGAAGCAGGCCGTACCCGACGATGCTGGGCAACCTAATCATTCGAACACCATTAGAAAGAGATCAGAAAATTTCAACAGATCTGAAGGTGGACTACCTTGGAATCAGACGGGGGGGAGAAAGGAAAGAAAGGCGGTCGATTCATGACCCTAGACTTTATTGGTCTTTGGCGCGAGGTACACGTTTCCCCCAATGCTGCCTCTTGTAGACTAGCCCCATGATAGAAGCGGGGGAGCGTCCTACGAGCTGTCCCTTATCCTTAGGCAAACAAGGTACGTACCCCATTTCCGGGATGCTTGCGTTGCTGCACTGTTCACGAGCACCAGCGCTGGTTGACCAGACTAGTTGATTGGCAGTGAACCACCATGGCCACACCACCAAGGGATCTAACGCTTGTGCCATGCGCCGTTCCCGCTGGCTTCCTCCCCCCCCTTGCCCATTCCTTACCAGTCGCTTCCGTTCTCCTTCCCAACTCTCGCTTGCCTCTCGCTTGCTTCCTAGCGCGTGCCTCTAGCGGCCGGAGCCCTTGCCGGGCAGAACGGGATATTTGCGTGTACTCAGCCCGTGCCTTGCCGTTTTATTGCTAGCGGGATGATTGGGAGTCTGGAAAAGTTTGGAACTGATCTGCTGCCTGCCTGCCTGCTTGCTTGCTGCTTGACTGGGGACATACCCAATTCTTGACGGGCAATGACGATTGATGCTCCCGTCGCGGGCGTGCTGTTCAAGGTGGCATTCAATGACTCTCGGCTTCTGCACTGTACCATACATATAGCGCTGGTAGCCACAGGGGCCGCAAGCAAGCCGGGGCACTCCTGGACACTGACATTCACCACTGATGGATGATAAAAACTGGCCCGAGCTTCGATGTGCCGCCTTGATTGTTTTTAATATCCTGAATTATTGTTTTTTTCTCCGTCACATGCGTCTGTCTCAGCTCAGACACTTCGTTCCATTGTCCACCTCATTGTTTCTTCCGGCCGCCTTGGAGTTCGTCCTTCGCTCCTGTTCCCGTCCCCGTTTCTTGCATTCCGTCCCATCACCAAAGCACTCGTGTTTCTCGTACTGGATTACCCCCTTGATCCTAGCGAGGGTGAATGGATACAACCCCCCCAAACCGTCCGGCCCCTCCTCTTCTCTCTCTCTCCGTCCAGTTCGTCCCTATTCTTGGCCCCCTCTCCCCATCGTTCATACCCTTTCGACTAGCGCTGCCAAACGTTTCGTACTACACCCCTCCCCATTCCTCCCCCTCCCCTCCATTTCGAGAACCGAACTGGTCCGACTTGGACCAAGGGCCATCGTTCGTCCATCTCAATAACCGCATCACACGCATATACTGCACATACGCGCGACGCTGCCCTGTCCTGCCATGCCTTGAGCCCCCCCCCCCAAGATGCCCGTGGTTCTTGAGGCTGTCCCGTCTATCCTATGCCGTCCTGTTATGACCTCCGTGCGTGTGTATGTGTGCGCCGAATGGCATGTCCCCACGGGCGTGGAGCGCGCCATTCGTGACAACGAGATGGTTTGGCGTAACCGAGCGATGACGCGCTGAGATGTTCGTTGCATGGCGGGATCGGCCCTGCTCCTGGCTCCTCTTACTTTCTCTCGCGAGACCCCCTTGTCTTTGCACCCCCATCCTCTTCTAACACCTGCATCTACACGTACGAACAGAGCACGTAGCAACGCTTTGCATGCTCCGGCGCCTTACGCTTACGGGGGTTCCTACTCCCCAAAGCAGGCGCATGGCCCAGAGAGTGTGAAACACGCCCGTTGAGGGGTTTGCGTGCGTGTGCGAATGTTCCACCTTTCGCGAGCTACTGGCTACGTACTCGAACCCAATGGGAGGAGGGGAACAACCAGATAATGCAAGGTACCTTGCAGTAAGTACCGTGCGGAGCACATACTGGACGGGACCAAGTCGTCCAGTTCAGATGGTGCGTATCTTGCTTGCCTGGCGATCCGGGAAGGGACGCGCGCAAGGAAACAGAAGCAACGACAGAGCAGGGGAGAGGAAAATCTCTTTCTATGCCTGTCGCTTGCTGTCATCGTCCCATCCTTCTTGCCAAAAGGGGGGGTCACTGCCACAATGCTACAGCTTCAAGCTCACGCTGCTGTCCTCGGCTTGTCTCTCCGGGCTAAACATGCGACGGAGTTGACAAGTGCAATGTCTGTCTGTCTGGCTGCATATGCGAGGAAACAGAGAAAGGGGAGAGAGAGAGAGGGAGATAGAGAGCGGCTTCACGCACAAAACAAATTACAGGCAGCACGCATCTCTCGCCTCGGCTCGCCTCTCACCTCTCATCTAACATCTCACGTCCCCACACCCCGTTCTCTGCTTCGGCTTCTTTCCCTTCTTCCTACTTTGCCGTCAACCGATCTCCCATTTGTAGTCGTCGCCCCATACTCACACCAACCCGCCTTAAGTAGCCATCGCCCACTATTCGAGACCCGTAGCCAATCCAGACTGTACAGCAACCAACCCCTGCCCATATCGATCTCGGCCGGATGGCAGAAGGAGAAGAAGTCTCCGTACGGGTAGAATAAGAAGAGGCAGAAGCAGAAGAAGTACGAGCGCGCTGAACACCCCGAGGGCAAGCAGGGATTGCTCGGAGAGTGTGCTGAATGCTGTATCTGTGTCCAAGGCGCCTAGGGACTCCTGCTTTCACTCCCTCTTTCTTTCCTACTCATACTCCCATGCCACATTAGGTACTCTACAGCTCGAGGTACGGCACCTGACCCTAGCACCTCTCGTGTGTCGGGTTTATTTCTTCCCCCGGGCCTTTTCGGGGGCTTGGTTTTTGTAGTAATTTTTTTTCTTCTAGGTTTATTTCGCGCGTTGCCTACTTTCTAGCAGCCAACAGCTGCACCCGGCCCCCAAACACCAAGCAGCAAGCAGCAAGCACAAGTACCAGCACCAACACGAGGCACCACCAAAGCATCAGGCTTCTCCACCTCCACCCTCCTCGTCCTCCTAGCACGCCTCTCCTCTCCGCTCCTGTCCTCTACTTTACCCGCACTGAGGTACTTCTCTAGCTCTTTCCCTCCGTCTCCTCTCTGCGCGCTAGGTTCCTGACTAACTCGCCCCAAGCTTCCTCGCGCTGGGCTTTGATCCCAAAATCCAAAGCACACACCTCCTTCCGTCCCAACTCATCCCATCCCATCCTTCCCTCCTCGTGCTCCTCTCGCTTCCCGCCAAAGCGTCCGAACTACGACACCACCAACTTCTTTTCCGTCCGTGAATCTGATCTTAACCTCGCACCTCCCGCACCTACCTCACCACACCTCACCTCACCCTTCCGACCTTCATCACCTTCACTCCACGCCCCAACTTCCTCTCTCGCTCGCTACTCTTAATGCCAAATTCTTTTTTTTTTTATTACCGAAATCCACACCCACGTTCGTTTCCCATTATTATATACCTGAGAGACAGCTCGGCTCGTCAATAATTGCACGTCCTCGCGACCTCTGTTGATTCTTTCACCCTGCATCATTTACCTGGGCTTGCCCTGCACCTCATCCGGTCTACTTCTTCCCATCTTTCCTCCCAATTATCATTCTACGCCAATCCCGCGCCACGCACCTTATCACTACCATCACCACCACCTCGGGTGCCACTCATCACGACCAACTACAACGACAACATAATTCACACCATCATCGCACTCGTTCGCCCGTATCCCGTCGACTCCTCGGAATAACGCCGCCGCCGCACGAAGCAACATTCAATCCAACTCGAAGACGCCGACGCAAGCCCCAAGTCGTCCCGACAGTGTGAGGGTAGAAAGTGGAAGACCGCGCCGATGGATCAACACATGCAAGATGCCCCGGCTGATGTGCTGGCCGATGCCAGGCGGACGCTTGAGGCTTTGAAGAGCTCGGGACTCTCGCGCGAAGTGTTGTTGCAAATGTGGGAGGCCGGCGAAGACAGGACGCACCAGCTCCAACACCAACACCAGCTCCACCACCAGCACCAACAGCAACAAACACCACAAGACGCTCCTATGGAGGATGCTTCTACACGAGGTTTGTTCTCACCGCCTTCGAATGCGTGTCACCGGAAAAAAAGAGACGCTCCCGCTAACTTCCCTATTGTTCCCTCAGCAATCTGCCATGGTCAAATAGGTCACCGACCGCGCATATCCGTCTCGTCGACGAGCTCAGGTTCTTCCGGTCATGCTAGTATCTGGTCGATGGGCTCCGCCAACTCCAACGCTACCGTCGCGACACACTACTCGCAAGCCTCCCAGGCCCCTCCACTACCCAATGCGCACCCCAGCCCTCTGTCGGTGCTCCAGGCAACCTGCCCCAGGTGGCGAGCGCGCAAACAGGATGGGGACCCGGCCGTTTCAACTTTTATTGGTGCACTTCCTGCGAGACACGGTTCAAGCGCAAGTACGACTGGAAGCGTCATGAGGAGGAGTTCCATGAGCGCTGGAAGAAGTACCCTTGCCCTGAGCCTGGCTGCAACAGAAGTTTCTGGGGAGCAAACACTTTCAACCAACACCACAAGGCCTCGCACGGCTGCAAGACGTGCCCTCATTCTGAAAAGGTAGTCAAATATCTCAAGCGGAGGAAGTACTGGGCTTGCGGCTTCTGCTCGGCTCTTCATCCTTCGCGAGAACGCCATGTCGAGCACGTAGCTCGGCATTTTGAGTCGGGGAAGACGAAGTCGGATTGGATGCACTCGAGAGTTATTTACGGCCTCCTTCACCAGCCTCTGATCCACGAGGCCTGGAAGGACATCCTCATGTCCAAAGCGAATGAGTTCAGCGGACGTCAGCCCAACTTCAGCTGGAATCCCACACAGACCGGTCGTGCGCAGGGCTTCATGGAAAATGAGAGCCCAGGTCAACTGCAAGACCTTCTCGAGTTCTTCTCTGGTCCCAGCACCGAAGCCGAGTCTATAGTGTCAATCGCCTACAAGCTTGCCGACCTCGTTTTTCTACCAGTCCCGGCATCACCGCCGATGCAGTACTCCCAATGCTACGCCCCTCCTCCTTCGGCTCTCCCGCAACAATACCCGCCTCAGCCCCTTCTTCCTCCTCCTTCGATACCCTCTCAGACTTTGCCGACTCAGTCGCCCCAGCCTCCCGTACTGGCTTCGCAGGACTCATCACCTTCACCATTCATGGACCAAATGAGGGCCCAATCAATGATGCCACAGCAGATGTTCCACACGCCACAACCGCGTGCCAACACTGAGCCTCTGCGACGAGCATCTCTCGATAGGGAGCTACCGCCACCACCACAAGAAAATCAGCCAATGAACTTTCAATTTATGCCCGAAAATATGGTCTCGTTTGAAGACTGGGAGAGCTTCTCTAGTACCGTCGTTGACGAGAACGCACCGCAACCTGCGCCAATGTCAACAGAATGGCCAATGGTTCCTGTACAATACTACAACGCCCCTGTAGGGCCATGATCACCTTCATTCTTGCATCTCCAGAAAAAAGTCAATATTTCTTTTGTCACATGTCACATGTATTGCTGCTAGCATTGGCCAGCTGGCCAATCACTATAGTATATAATGGTAATCACCTCGTGGGGGGGACCTGACTCGATGGACTCGACTCATCATTTCTTTAGGTCACGGATTCGGGCAAAAAACGGAACGGACATGGCACGGAACAGGAACAGGAATTGGCAAAGGGAAGGCCAATACAAGAAAGGGGAGGCGTCACTCACGAAAGAGGTGTTCCATTACGGTTGATGGTCAAATGTCAAATGCGATGGATAGAATCAAATCAAAAACTCATTGCATTGTGTCCCCTCGGCGCTGCTCTTGCATCCCCGTCATGAAGTTTTGTTTGCTTATATGGATCAGTACGGCAAAAAAGCAACCAAGAACGAACGATGCCCTTCATATCGTCGACATACCGCATCCGAACAAGCCTGCGACGACTGCAGTTGCTCAATCAGCCTCGCCAAAGTCCTGGATTGGACGGGCACATGCGTTTGTGTTCTCACTGGCTGGAAACGCGTGTAGCGAGAGGAAGACGCCTCTGCCCGCCCACGCCCTACTCCTCTGCGGCCCTGCCACCACTTCATTGTTGAGAAGCAACGCACCTGGTCAACATACGTTCAAGGCTTGTAGTACCAACGGATCCGTTTGTCGTCGTTATGGAATGACGGTGTCAACTCGACGGACCAAGCGAGCTGTGACACCCAAGTCATATTCTGATAGCAGCAGGAAACAGAAGTTGGGCATTGGCAAAGATGAGCACACATCCCGGAGCCATTAGGGATTCTACTTGGATCTCGCACCTAGCATCTCAACGACGGTGGCTCTGAAACCCCATGTGCGGCTTCTCGCGGAAGCCTTTCATCGGATTTGGCACTATGCTTTGCAGACTGTTTCCAACACGTTCATCCGCTGTTGAGACCGATTTGCTGACGTGCTGGCTTCACTATTTGTTGGACGCGCAGCCAGCAGTCATCAGTCACTCGATCACTATAGAATTCACGGCGATCCGTGACAATCCGCCGAGACATAATGTAGCAAGCCAGCCCGGCCCCTCAGACGCCCCCTCTGAGGCCTTCCTTATGTCGGTCCTCGGGACAATTGAAATAGCTTCAGTGGAAATGATAAAAAGCTGACAAAAAGCCTACAGCCTTTAGCAAACTTGGGGTATCGACGCAAATGACTCGGGTACCACTACCGAGACCGAAATGCCCAAGTTGGCGGCGTCGAGACTAAGGCGGCTGCAGTCGGGTGATGTTCAAGACTGGCGGTGGTGGCGAGGTCCTCAATGGTGTGGAGCCGGAGCAGGCTCCGGAGTCGGTATTTTGTAACATGCCTGAGCGAGTCGTGGACGGGTTTTCTTTGGTCTTGTTTCTGAAGGGTCTTGTTTCCGAAGGGGGGTTTCTGAGACTGAGGGGGAAAGCCACAACGTACATGCCATGCTTGATTCAGCTGGGGTGTGGGTTTCTGTTGCGTAGGTGGGCTGCATTCCTGCCGGAACCCTGGCGGATGTGGCTAGCCGTGGCTGGCGCAGTTCGACGAATCAATGTCCTGATTTCGACTGGGCGGCACTGTCGTCAATCGATCGGCTGCTCGTAGTTTGCATGCCATTGTTGTTGTGCTGCAAATGCGGCCCCTTTGGTCTTGGAACAACCTCGCATAGTTCCTGTATTCGAAGGTTTCCGCAACGTAGCCTCCGAGGACGAGCATGGCATAGCAAGTTTGACGTCTACTTGGTTCGGCATCTTCCGAAAGGCAGTATACAGCCGCGTCTAGTTTCTTATCTGAGACCAAAAGGATCGACTGTCACTCAAGACTTGTCTCGCCGCTCTCAAGCTACCCGAACTCGTGGGGATCATTTCTAGGAGGGACACTTTGCGCGACTTAGGATTCAGGACAGTGACGCATTTGCGTCTCTTGAATCGTCACTTCGTGCTTCGCATCATATCGATCTTACGGGTAGTTTCGCAAAAAGGCAATGTTCGAGAACGAAGTATATGAAGCAGCAAGTCCGGGGGTGCCGGGCTGAGGATCAGAAATCTGAGTTGACTGTGGATCTACGTAAGGTCTCCAGTTTGGAATCTTGACTCACGAAGTTTCTCCGGCAACGTGTGTATCACGCAACTCATGCCTGGACAGTATCCACTGCAGGTTTACGTAGGCCTTTCGGAGAAGTCAAGATGGCTTTTCGAGGAAGATCCAGTCAGGGGAAATATACGAAGAGAGGGCCTGGTAGTTTGTCTCTCGCGCCGAGTCCTTCGGGTGGAAACAAGGTAACGTTGGCCCCGATCAGCATGTCAATGTCTTGGTTTGTAGCCCAAGACACGCGGTCTTGATACTCAACACAAAGACGAACCCCGTGATTCATTGTACTTCAATACTCCTCCGTCACATAACAGGAGAGAAATACCGTGGCCGAGTTGCATGCACGCGAGTATAGTGGTTATGCTGATCTAGATCTCACCAAGGCCTATTGAGCGAGCGGCTACCCAACAAGAGGCCTTTACAGCTTCGCCTGATAAACCCCTAAAAGGCATCAATAACTCAGAGTCTCTTTCGTTGCAAACATAGCTACTGGCTCTTTTCAACCTTTTCCATCACTGCGAAAGCATTCCCTGCATCCTCGCGAGCCCGTCCGTCCAGTCCCTCGGCGTCCCGAACGGCCACAAACCTCTCCTTCCATAACTGCCACCGCTGCGGGCACAACCCATTTGTTCCTTTGAACTTTCGTCTCAGCTTGGTTGCCTCCTTCTTGTCAAGCTTCCACAGAGGACCAGCCGTTACCCCACGAATCTCCTCGTCGCGCCCGTGCAACACATGGCCTGCGTGAACCATCCAGGATGCTGCGCTTCTGGCCTTGTACGAGATGTCTTCCACCGCGGCGGGATCCGGGTTTGTTGCATCCGGGGCACCGCGGACGGGCGTCACGGCTCCCTCCAGCGCGTCTACGAGCGCCCAGATGGCATACGTCTCCAACGGGACGAGGCATAGGCCCATGACTCTGGCAGCATATGCCTGGAGGTTCACGCGGCGCTCTTTCCTCTGATATTCCCCAGGAGCTTTCAAATCACCTGGCAGGCGTAAATTTCTTAGTTTGCATCCCACATTCCGGAAAGTGTTTGGGAGGCGAAAGCGCGCGCATGAACATACCATCATCGAGCTTCTCGCCGAGTGTGTTGCCAAACATGGGGAATTTGGCCCATGGCGCAACAGAGTTCTCGTCACTGGCGCCCCATTCTTCACCGAGGTTCACCGAATTGCAAGGCAGGCATGTAAGTGCCTTGATGACCGCCACAAGTCGGTCTTGTTGAGGACTGTCATAGGGAACCTGGCGTGCGAGATCATGGACCAGATCCCAGAACCACCAGAGAAAAGACCCTGCTGTGCCGTGTTGCGCATAGTCCTGGCCCAAAAGAGCATCCAAAGCGGCGGCGGCTTCGTCGGGAGACGTTGAAATGGTTGAGGCGAGGGCGTGGTTGAGTTTATCGATGACCTTGCTCGCGAAAGCAGGCGCGCCGTCGTCTTCAAGATGGAGATTTACGCATGACATGGTGTCGCCAAACTATTCTACAACTTTTACTTGCTCCTTTTCTTTCTTCTTCTTGTTCTTCTTCTTCTTCTTTTCTTTTGTTTCTGCCTCTGTTAAAGACTTGCTTCGCCCCTGTGCCGTAGAATGAGAATGGTTTGTCGAATGCAAGAGGTAGTGGCAATGAATTCTATGAGTGGTTCGCGAACACTTATTGCAACAATGCTGGACTTTTAAGGTTCAGCACGGCTCAGAAGGGAACATTGCATACTAAAACTGGAAGGCCCCAAGGCACCGGGGCCCTCAGGCCGGATGACGTGCCGGGATGGTGTTCGTGCTGCGGTCGCCGGCAGCGACCGGGAACTAGCATGGCCTGATAAAAAGGCTACCTACCCTCAATGCCGTTCGGATGCCGCGATCCTGTGGCAAGATCCGCACCGAACTCTAATCAACCTTAAATATGCGACGTATTTTCTGTACCGGACCAGAACATAATGTCAGTCTATTATTAGCTCTCTTCTGAGCGACCGTGACCAGCACCAAAATTACAGCAAACCCATTTATTTGAGATATGTGTTCACCAACACTCTGTGAGATGTCATACACCTTGTAGCATGTTATGTTATATTCTATGAGCCGTCCCAGTCTAATAGTTACGGTCAAACTTTCTCTAGGGGCTAGCGTTCACGCGCAAATCCGCATGTCAAGAACAACGATCCTCGCTGTGGCTAAGCTAACGATCTTCATAGGGGCCTGGCTGAAAGTTCCACCATCTGGACATTAGTCAGAACGCCGGAGATCATATGATAGGCAGGAACCGCATCTTCATCATGCTGCAACCTAACACTTGCGACGATATCCCAGTAGAGATCGCCAGCAAGTGTGGGTAGAAAGCCGCGTTCGACAGATTCGCAGCCCCATACTTATGCAAGCATGTGAACCCCCTACGCTTAGCCGGGCCTCCGACTTACTCGTTGCTTTGGTCCACAGGGCTCAAGTCGATTTGCTCAAGGTATTTCGAGGAGTCGCAGTACCGCAATTCCATCTTCTCAACAGGATAACAGGGATAGCAAAACCTTACATGCATCCAAATGATTTGCTCCAAGGCCGTGAGTATGTGGGATACCTACAATTCCATGTACTGTTACTTTGCCCCGCAATGAGTTAGACTGGGATGTTTTCGAGCCCCTTTGGATACTACTCTCGCATGCCTTTCTCTCCTAGGCTACTGCTACTGTTTTTGGCCCGGGAGGAAAGTCAAACAAAGCTGTCCAGAGAGTACGAGGGACAATCGGGATATGAACAGAACAAACGCAGAATGAAAGAATCAGCATCACAGCATGAGGACGAAGGCTCCTTTGCGAAGGAAACTCTTCACCTCGAAGATAGCACCGATTCCACGTCCCAGGCCCCTTCTACGGATCTATATTACAAGTGGCTATGCTCAGTAACATTATTTGGATGAACGACGATCATGTTGAGTAGACTGCCTACCGTACTCGTGGCTGACATGGAGTATACACCTTTATTGTTCGGCTTAGCCGTGTCCTGGATCTATCATCGCGACGCCCCTGACGTCTTATTACTAATTTCCAGTCAACGAAACTGAACACTCAATTATCAAGTATATATAGGTTTGCCTCGTCGAGAATAAGTTCTGATGCTCATCCCGCAACTAGCAACACTCTAGCACCTTCTTAGACTCGTTTTCGACTTCATAGTCTATTGTCACTCTTTTACTCTCATTCCCAGGTTTCAGACTAACAGCCGTTTTATTACACTCGTTTTTGAAGAATCCATCAACCGTGCCAAATCAACAAAATGGTTTCTTGCACTTACCTACTCACTCTTCTTGCTGCCACCGCTGCCATTGCAAGCCCGGTCCGTCTCTCCAATCAAAACGGCACTGTTAAGATCCGCCAGTCCGGCCAGGTAATTGGACACTCTTCGAGTTGTGTCTTCTGCTGTGTACTGACAATAGTCGCCTAGGTCTACGTTTGCAAAGCCGGCGCCAATAATGACGGCGTAACGTACGGCGAGGTCAGTCAAGACTGTGCCATTGGGTACTTCCGAGAGGCCGGGACCAAGGCGGGCTTCAGCGGCTACCCGAAAAAGTTTGACAACAAGGGTAATGTCATGAAATTTGCCTCCGGCTGCAACGAAAATGTCTACGAGCTTCCCGTCTTCAGTAACGGCAAGCGCTACGACTTTAATGCTAAGAAGGGCTCTATCAACAAGCCTGGCCCTATGCGCGTCTACTACACCAAAGATCTCAAGTTCTGCGGCGTCGGAGCCAAGGAACATATCGGTGGCACTGGCAATCCCCACAACTGTGTCTTAGAGAACCAGGGGGTTCCAAGCCAAGGGTGGCTTTTGGTGCGAAAGCGAGGCATTTCTATTGTTCTCTCTTTTACTGGGAGACTAAATTGGATTGCCTATGTGGGATGTTTGTCGGTTTAACCTTCGGTTTAAAGAGAAGAGATGTTGTCGTGAAACCAAGACCCAACATGTACATGATGCTTGGTGGATGCCTATATTGCTCACTTCCAAGGCCTTGAGGCCAAGTTGGAACGGTCACAACTGAGTAGTTCCAGCCAACATAAGTATTCGGCGGTCGCCCTGGCACAACAACTACACGCGATCAACCCTCTTTCAGCCCTTTAAGTGGCGCGATGATATCAGTTGCCGTGGCTGTTTCATCCACTCAACTTGATGGGCAACGCTCCTCAACTTTAAAGAGCCGAAAATTGGAATTGAGCTTGTAACGCCCTGAACTATGGACTCTGTGGTTAGTTCTGCACCTGCCGTCTTTATTCATATAGCACCCTGGAGGATTGGCCTTGGCATTAAGCCTAGTTGAGGCGTCATTCTTGCTCCTTTCGAATGTGTTGTCCGGTGGAGATGCAGTAGGTACTTGACCAGACGGCATGACCGCACTTTCTTCACCAAGCAGGCCTTTGGCTCCACGAAGTCTGCAGTTGGAAGACATACATGATATATATTTGTTTCTTCACGAAGATAGCGCTAATCTGTCTATATCTCATACGAGGTAACGAACCAACGTCTGGGCTGCTACACGGCGTCCCAAATGCTAGCATACCACGCACACCGTCTCCTACGAAACCCACCTTTCCAATGCAAAGGTCCCATTCATTCATCTCGCACACAGAGAGTCTCGACCCAGCGTGAAAACTTAACGGTGTGAACATCGACCGTTCGCCAGAAAACATCACTACCCCAGATGGTAGGTACTCCCAGCGCAACCAAACCGATGAACCATGCTATCATCCGTCCCCACATACCGGCTTCGTCTCTGCCACCAACTAAAGCCCAGACGTAGGGCATCCAGCGATGTTCTAGGACGTCCAAGACAGGTCCGTGGACGAGGTACAGCGCATAGCTGATATCGGCGAGGTACTGCGCGAAGGGTGTAACAAAGAGGTTCTGTAGCACCTTAATCTGCTGTAAGGCAGCCACGATTTGAATGGCGCCAAGTGCATACCAGGGGAATGCAACAAGATCTCCACCCATGGTAAAGTAGGGTTCCATAGTGTTACGAAAGAGCGGTGCAATTCCGGGCGTGATGTCGTTGACCTGATCAGGCCATCCAGCAACAAACAACGCGAAAATAAAGTTGCCAAGGAGGAAAGTTTTGAAGAGAAGGGTCGTTGCAGAGTTCGAATATGATTCCAGGGTGCCGCTGGGGGTCTCCGTGTCCGATTCCGCCTCCTTGTTCTGGATAGCAGCGGTAGCGCGCTCGCGGCGAGCCTCTTGAATAAGCCCGATCTCAGCAAGGACCATGCCACCGAAAAACTCAAAGGCTGCCCAATGGCCGCACCTAAGGCAGTACAACATGATAGCAAGCACAGATACTAGACGTAAATACGTTTTCATACGGCTTACACCAGTCAAAGTAACAAACAGTAGTAACGAGTTAGAGAACTCGATAGGAATAGTCCATAGATGGACATCGTAGGGGAGGAATTGTGTAATATCCCACTGCCAGCTGAAGGTAATCCTCCATAGCCCGTTCTTCCAGTCTACCAGTTGCTCCCATAGCGTAGGCAGAGGTTGTCCCATCCAACCAAGGCGGATCATGATCATGATGATAAAGGTAGAGGCGGTGGTAGGAAGAAATAGCCGAAAGCCGCGGCGGAAGACGCTACTCGAGAGGGTGCGGTGTAGTCCTTCGTAATTGTGTTTCCTGGCCTGTTGTAGAGACTTAAGAGAGAGAACGAAGCCTGAAATAACAAAGAAGATGTGAACCATGGGTTTGCCGCTGTAGATGACACGCAGGAAAGGAAGCTGTAGCGGCGAGGAAGCGACATGATCGTTTTCGTCCGGGATGCCGTATGGTCGAGCAAGGTAATAGCCAAAGTTCGGTCCTGTATAGTGGCAAACAAAGACGATTAGGGATGCGGTACCACGCAAGCCATCAAGCCATGATGTCGGGTAAAGGCGTCGGCGTTGATTTTTGGAATCATGTCTTAGCCTCCTCTGGACGAAAGAGGGTAGCAGGAAGAAAAGAATGGCCGTTAGTCTCGCAAGGAAGGACTTCGACTGTGGGTTAGGATTCGATCCTCCAGGTAACGAGGTTTCGGAATGACCGCTTGCGTTCGACAGCGGTGAGTAGGAGTATGAGTACGAGTTGGGAGAGAACCGAGCCACAGCTCCACGAATCGAGCGAACAGCCAAGGAGATCATAGCGAGGGCGATGGTGATGGCGATGACATGTCCTTGGGAGGAATATCGCAAGCGGGTCGGTGATCAGTTGAGGTTTTGGGCGGTCGTGGACTTATTTTCAAGTCTCTTCTTTCCTCCCTCCGATCTACAGTCGAAGAAGATGAAGCCGTTTCCCGGGTAGCACCGATGGTGTGGTTCGCTAAGAAGCTGCAAGAGATACCAGGAGAGAGAAACCGGAGGCAGCGTATGATCGCGAGACGTGCCGACACTGGCCAATCAAAGAGTGACGGCGCGTGTATTGAAGTAGACACTTTAGGCGTGGAGGAAGGAAGTTGAACTGGACGTGTTACTTGGACTTGGTCCAATAAAGGTGAGCTGGTAGACAAGACAATTTGTATTTGGGGTTTGGTGTGGAGTTCAGGGTCGACGAGACGATCCAACTTCGGCGTGCGCGTACCGCCCGTTGGGAGAACCTTACTACGGCGAGACCGGTCGTAAGGATATCACACGAAACAAATAACGCTGAGGTTACTTAACTTTTTTTATATCTCATAGTTGTACCCTATAAAGGAAGATCCCGAAAGAAAAGGCAGGCCAGACAAGCAGGCACTGCCGCCTCCTTTCGAAACCTTTCCCCTCTTGGCCTTATGCCTTTCCTGAGACGAGGGAACAAACCTTACTTGGAAAGTGCGCTTGTGATGTGATCGTCCTTAGTTTCCCGCGGCTACACCTTGAGAAATCAACTTGACAGACGTTGTAAACCGACGGTATGACTCGGTGGTAGATGGTCCTTCCACCTTGCCATCTGGTTGTAGCGGAGGTGTGAATCCCATCATGCACTGGCTCTGGTTTTCTGGGTGAACAATTGGCGGCTGACCACTGGTTAGAGTACTTGCAGCACTCGTCAGTTAATACTGTATGAGGTTACGAGGTGTGGAATCCTCGTCGTGCCTGGCGCAAGCCGAGTGGCATGCTGTGTAAATTGTATAAGATCAGGGATGCACGGCGACGAAAGACAAAAGAGTCGGTCCACTTCGCCGAACGGAAAGTAGTGATTCGGAACGAGGACAGCGGAATGCGGGTGGCTGAAGTGGCTGAAGTGGAATCCCGATTAAGCATTCAGCAGGCGCTAGCCACTCTAACCACGGCAAGACGAAGAAAATGACGGCCAGGCGGGCAGCTTATGCCACTTTGTATACTAGCTAGATCCGACTTAACAGCTTGGTACCAAGAACTACCCTCACTGGCCGATCTATGGGAGAGCGGGTGGGAATTCTATTTAGGGGTAGAACGGATTTAGCTGTGCGTGATGGTTGCGCCAAACAACGATGGCTATATTGTGTCCACACTGATGATTTATGATAAGGTTGTAACCGAGTCGGGCGCCCAAGTCGAAAATAGACATCTACTCGCAAAAGCTTACTTCCGGTGGCTACGCACCTTCACATTGGTCCGGGGAACGGTAACGTTGACTTCGGATGAAACTTCCCGTGTAACAACGCTGTAGATCCCCCTGGGGTTTTTGAAGAGACGCGGAGACATTTCAAATTTGGACCAGAGATTGCCTCTCGGTCCCATCAGTGTTCTTGTCGTGGTCTGCGAGTCACCTTGCTATGTAGAGTTTGAGGCTCAGGTTAGGTTCATGCCACGGACCCTCGAATAGATCGTACTGAGAGACCCTTGAGGAATGATTGGCAACTAGCCTCCAAAGTCGATAACTCGCCAGCCAATCTGGAAGGCCCTGGAAGGACTTAAAGATACGAGGTATGGAGAGAAACATCGAATTTTCGAATTCCCGTGAGGGCTGACGAGAGCTTCGTCAATCTTCTAGATACTGAGGGCATTTCCCTCAGGGATGTTTTGATGTACTCCCTAATCTCTTAAGTCACAAGCATGATGGTACAAGCATGAAAATAGATTCCGAACATATGCGCCAGCCTTCGGGCTCCTGCAACCGTTCACAAGAAGATGGATGACCGCTCATGGAGATACGGATGGCCCCCCTTATCGGGCCACGGTCAATTCAAAAACACTCAACTTATCATAAACGCTTCACAGGGTTTGCTCCACGGCGATGGCTGGAACCTCCTATCCAAGGCCAGGAACTGCCCCGAACCAAGTACACACTCAGCAAAACATTATACAAAAAGCCCGTGAACCTCCCCTCTCCATCTCCGATGAGCCGACCTAAGACACGTTCCGCCGACACCTTGTCACCGAGCACCTTCCCTTCCGAACGGCTCCTCGTCACCTCACCATTTTATCCCTTGAGGCCCCCGCTCCAGCCCTCCAAAGTCCACCCGCCGTACACACAGGTTGGACCAGAATCTAGAGGATGAGACACACAAAGATTCCTTCCAGTGGGCTGGATAGACTGGAGTACAGCGGCCAAGACACCGCTGTCTCGCGCGCGTCGCTCGCCTTGACCTCACTTGTTGAGACCGCTCAGGCTAGGGGCACCGTCGTAAGAATCACCGACTTGAGTCAGCAGCGGTCTACAACGTATAGCCATCAAGCAACAGTCGAAGAACCTGGACACGAGATAGTATCATGTTGTTTATCGCTGGATTTCCTTTGTCTACTGACCCAATCTATCTCAAGGCTCACCCCCTGAACCACCGCCTGCCTCAAACGCGAGCAGAACAAGAATCATGAGTTGCACGTTCTTCCTGGCCTAGAATACACTATCTCCGTCCACCTATAACGCTCATTGTTTGACGCAATTTTGCCTTGCCCTTCTTCCTTGAGTTCTGAAGCGTCCTTCCGCCATCAGTATTCGCGTGATGTGAACCTACGCTCCTAACATTGAACCAAAAAAAGAGCCCCATAATGCCCAAGTAGGGTATATCCAGATTGCTCCATGAAGATATCGCCACCGCAGATACGTATACGCCGGAAGCTACTGCTCAAGATAAGGAGACAAAAGGGGGCCTAGTAGCCCTCCTCAGATTCACAATCAACGCCGGAGGCCCCTCCCTCTTTTCCATATAGCGTGGGAAGATAAAAATGCCGGAAAAAGAAAAACCCGTTCGTGGAGACAAGGAGACACTGTCCCCCCAGATATGCGTGGATAACACCCGATTATGGCCTGAAAGCCCAAAAATATGCTCACATGTCGTAGAAACGGCGTGATGCCAACTGGCCAACTGGCCAGGTTGTCAGTTGATGGTCGTAGCAAAGCATAAAGTCGTGATACCCGTTCGTCCCGAATCTCGACTGGTTCGACTTTGCCGGCTCGCCCTGCACAAGTAAATCAAGACAACAGGACCGTGTTCTCATATAATGATGATGTCAATGCAACGGAACTCAACGCATACATGCGTATCGTTCACCGGCGCTCGATGCGCATCTGCTCAGCGTGCCTGGAAGAACATCGAGTTCAGCGCCAGAGAAAGTCCGAGGCTTTGACTGGGCGTCCAGTAGCATAGGAAATGATCCGCGTGTTCTCGCACGCGTCTTCAAAGTCGTCATCGAGATTGTACTCTCGGTAGTACCACTGATTTGTCCTCGAGTCGAAGAAATCCCGTCGGTGTAACTCGGGAGTGTGCAGCCCAAGGTACGACATCCATTGGGTGTGCTCTCGTAAGATGGCAGGGCTGCTGACGTCCTCCGGACCCAGGACTGTGTTGATGGGCTGAGAAATGGACTTCTGCCCGCGAGCGTCTCTGTCGTTGAACATGAGCATCAGCCGCGAAGAAATCTCCTTGTCAATGGCGCTCAGGGTTTGGCTATGCTCAATGCGGCTGGCTAGTCCCGTCAAATATGACTTGTGGCCATTCTTTCGGGGAGAATGAAGATGGGCCTGTATGGAAAGGCAGGTTAGTTAAATCTTTGGTCAGTGGCCGGGAGGCTAAGATGTACCTTCATCTCCCGCCGCGTGTCTGTCAAGAACGGGCAGTTGTCCATGATGCACCGGTAGATCTCTTTGAGGTAGCCCGGTTCGACAACCGGCGGCGGACAGCAGTGGGTCGTCGGTTGCGAGTCCGGGAAGAATGAAACGGGCCGGCAGATTTGACAAAGACCCCGGACGCACGGCTCGTTACCGGGGCCTTCATGGTCGAGGTAGTAGTGCAGCTGCGAGTAGGGCTGCTGTCAACGCACAGTTCACCCATCATGATCCCATCACTGTGACGTACCTCTGAGCACCCCGGCCGGGAGAAGGCCGGGTCCCTCCGGCCATCTGACGGGTTCGGCTGGTTCTTGTAAGCGTGCCGTCGGGATCGGCAGACGCCGGAGCGTGTCCGCACATACTATTCTTAGATCGATTCTGTCCTTTTGACTAACATCTCCTCGAATGACCTTGGCAGGCAAAGGCATGGCTTTCCAGTGCAATGAGCACATGGAGCACACGTACTTTCGAGGCCATCCAAAGTTGCTCTGGGCATCCGCTACGGCCTCGGATTCCTGAGAGCGCCATCCGATACCATTTCCATACTCCCTTGGGGTGCGGGATAAGCCATAGTAGTCAACGCTCCAGCCAGTTTGGATCTGGTCTCCGCTAGTGACCGACCGCGAGCCGTCCATCTCGGTTGGGAGGTTGAGTTCAGGAGGGGCTGGCCGTCCCACAACGTTGCCGAGGTACGCACCGGCGTCGCCATCCACGCGGACGAGGACATGACGAGGCTCCGAAGGTGCAGCGGCAGAAAGGTCAAACGGATTAATGATGCCGGCTGACTGACCCGACGCCGGCGTCGAAAACCTGCTATCGTTGGCATCCTGGCTGTAGTTGTCAAGATTGGGATCCGATTCCCGTGAAACCGAGGCCACGGTCGATGTCGATGAAGGGACTGAAACAGCGTCCAGAGGTTTACTGTAACGTGGAAGTCCAGTGTTGTGGCGGATGCTGTGCGAGGGTATCAAGGAAGCAGCCGGGTCGCGGTTCTGCGGCTGGACCTGGACAGGTGTGCGCGCTGGCCATTGTTGGCGATGCATGAGAGATGACCCATGATGCGGCGGAGGAAACGGATGAAAGGCGTTTCCACCGAGAGAACTCTGATGCCCGACGAATCGATTGGAGACGGTCAAGCTCATATTCCGACGACGTTTCGCTCCTGGTTGACGGAGCAAAGGCAGGGAGCCAGAAACACCACGGTCTATTCTGTCCTGGGTGTTTGTGTAAATATGAGAACTTTACGAGTTCTCAGCGGTGTTTGCGACTGTTCTCGCCACGGATTACTGCAGATAGAGAGAGGGAGCACAAGCACGAGAATAAAAGACGGGCGGAGGCGAGTCGTCATGTAAGATGGGCGGCGAGATCGATCTCAGACAGCGCGAAAAAATGTGGGAGATCGGATTGGATTGGATTAACCCCCCTGCCAGTCACGATATGGGTTCCGTAGGACGTTGGTATCCTCTGGGGTTCCTCCTTTTCATGTCAGCGTATTTTTTTCTGCTTGCTTCTCGCCTGAATCAGAGAAGAAGGGCAGAGCGAGAGATCCAGGGTGGCTGGCCCTAGTCTCACAGTATCGCGAAGAAAAAGCAATGCGGGCCACATCTGTCTCTCTGCCTCGTCGTGTCGCGGTGTCGCTACCAGCCCGCATCATGCTACGCACGTTTGACCATAACAAGAGTGGTGGCTCTGGGGCAGTAGCAAAAGGCCCAATCTCTCGAGACGCGCAGCGCCGGCTACTTGCAGAGCCGACGTGGGTACGTATTCGTACGTACGATACATGATAGTGCGCAGTAGGCAATCTTGAGACTGGAGCCCAAGGTGGCCGGGGGGTCGGGGCTTCGCGGCTGGCACCAGGGAGACCAGGGGTTGGAACAGGGGGGGTGTCGTTGGGATCAACGACAGAGATCGATGGGGGACGACGTTCTTTGCAGTAGCATGCGTGTCGGTATCCAAGGGGAAAGGCAGCCAGGACCATATGTCATCAGGCATAGGCAGAGATAGTTGTGCTATGTATTGTGTTATGATGCTGGTCATCATGGGATAAGGCAAGGCCAGGCCAGATCAGGCGCGGCCTCGTGGCCCCCAGGTTGGGTTCCATGGGCTCAAGACACTATCTCAACACCCCAGCTCATCGCCCCCCTGTCGTCAAGTATGTTGTGCGGCTGCCACACTCTGCAGTGCTTCTGATGTATTGTACTGTAGTTGCTGCGAGTGCGGGTTGTTCGTCTCCGCCTCTATGTGCTGTCATTACCGTCACTCCCCATCCTCTCAGGGGCCGCAGAGGAACGCCTTCCCCGGTACGGACGTACGAAGAACAGAGATATGCAGATGAGTTGCAGATTCCCTATGAGACTTGTCTCGCCTGGCACACCAAGAACAATCCCTGCCTCTCTTTACTCTGGGTATCTGAGCTCGGATTGGCTCGGGACGGACCCCTCTTCTCAGGGATCGTTATATCGCGCTGCTTCTCTTCGACAAAAAGATCTATCCGGACTAGGGTTAACCGCGCACTACTCCACAAGTCTCCGATCGATAGACGAACAAGAGTGTCGATAATATCCATACATAGACCGACAGTTAAGACTCCAGAAGTGTGGACGAGATCTGGGGAAGGCAAGCCAATGGGTGGTGTTTGGAGTGGCGTAAACGCTGCAGCTGCCTCTCATTGAGGTTTAGGCTGTTTGTGTGGAGTTTTTCTTTTTCTACTCCTCCTCTTCGCCCCCCTCCTTAGCCCTCCGGAGTCAATCCCGCTGGGCTATGGATCCGCAATGAATCAGACCTTGGAGAACTGCGTCAAGACGGACGGCGGAATGGTAAGTGGGGAAAGGTTTGATGCCTTCGTCTTGTCCTTGGTTCAGTTTTCGCGTCTGCAAATTAGTTATCGGGTTTGTGTTGCAGTAAGGTATCCATACAGTTTCATACCGCGCTCCGTGGTGGCCGTCGACTTGCAGCCACGTTTCCGTTCTCGCATTCGTTGTCTGCCTTTGGCATTTGATACCCGACACCTGCATGTGCCCTTGATAAAACGTACAGCTGGCTGGATCAAAGGATTTCCGACGTCATATGCGGAGTGATTCTTAGGCTGAGGGGTGCACAAACGGACGAAACCGGGCTACTCTTGACTGGACCAAACTTGCTGGGATATCCCAAGACCGGGACTTGTTTAGACATGCGCTGCCGACGTTCCCTTGCGACTGGAAACCAAAATATGACGGATGACGACCCGATCGACTGGGTAAAGACGATGCACTTGAGCCAAGTGTCGATATGCAGGCCACTGGTGCTGACGGGCGCTGACTGGAGCCTGACTTGCTGATGGGAGGACTGTTTGCTTGCCCGGTGAACGTTTTTCGATTTCTGGCTGGCATCTGAGATGCGATGTGATGCCATGGTCCCTCTCATCCCTGGTCTCGCCTGACGTGACGAGCCACCAGCCCAACCAAGCCCAGCCCAGTACGGCTTGAGACCACGTCTCTGATGTCTAGCGCTGTTAGGACTCGAATTCCGATTCATGTGAAGAATTTGCACAAGCCTGCCACCCTGAGGGCCATATGGGCCTTGTGGGCGCCAGTCATTCGAGGCCTAGCCTTGACAACGTGGAGCTTGAAAAAGCAATATATTGCAGCCGGCTCCTACCGGAATGGCCTTCCGGTACCACGATCGCCAGCCATGTGCCGCACCTCCAGCTCTAGCCAGCATGGTGTCCATCTAGGCGCCCCTCCTCATTCTCTACCTTTTGGTTAGTTTGGCGGTGTGTGCTACAGATGTGGTTGCTTTGCCAAACGTGGACGCCCAACGGGCGAGGGTCAGTGATGGAGTGTACGGTGTCGGAAATCACCCGAAGAAACTTGGGGGAAAACACGCGAGAAGCCACAACTCAGAGGGTTCAGACAAGCGGGGGGGCTCATGAGGGATAGTAATACGCATTTATGTAAATATGCCAAAGTAGACAATGAGACCACAAGCTTCTTCTCTGTCCGTTCCACCTCTATCTACCGTACCCTACTGCTTACCGTCCCTCTCGATGCAAGTGTCCGGCGAGCAGGGAGCTGTGGACAACCACTAATCTCGCTGCAAGTCTGGCAGGAGGCGGCAGCGGAGCTTCAGCCACCGGTTGCCGGGAGACATGGGCCGGTACCCGTAAGCTTTCCCCTCTTTGCCGTTGTATCGTGGGAGAGGCTGGCATCCCTTCTTCGCAGCAGTTAAGATCAGTGTCTCGGAAAGAGGTGTGACGGAAGGTAGGTATGGCGGGCAGTCCTCACCACTTTTATGCATGATCCTCAGCTTCAGCCACAAAATAGCTGAACATGAATCCTGAACTTTGGAGGGTGCCTAGATTTGTTCCGGGCCTCCCTAGGATCTGCAAGGGTACGTATGTTCGATGACGGTTTGGCTTGACCTGACTTGGCTGCCGGCCACCGTCAACGAGCCGCATCTCAAGCCCTCAACGTGGCTCATTCCACAACGCCTATCAGGATATAGCACCGCGCGACTTGGCATCGATTCTTTCTCAAGTCCAATGCACGCCGACACGCTTGTCAGCCAACACATATTTCAGTTGGCACCAAGCACCTGGTTGCCCGCATGATTCAGGAAAAGAAACGTTCCCCCTTCATGATTCGCCCCTTCTGCGTGTTGCATCATGTAGCCTGATGGCGGTCGGAGGCGGTCTGGCTATGAGCTTAGCGGCATAATGCCAAATCTTAAAGACGCCGGCGAGAAGATCTGCAGATGTCGTAGCAAGCAGCACCATATGACCGACCCGGCTCATACTTGTCCAGACCAGTTGCAAGCTCAACTGTGCCTTATGCGCTGGTACTGAAGTAGTAGTTCTCCCACAGGTACTCGTAGTCTTCCAGGATACCGCCAATGAGTCCAGGAACTCTTGAGCGCACGCCGCCGACAACACCCTTCATAACGTTTTCATAGAAGGCTCCTCGCATGGTCCACCATCCCATGGCCCAGCCCCGCTTGTTCCACTCGTCACGTTCGAGCGGCGTGGTCCTGAAGCTGCGGTCTCTGAGTTGACGTGCGGCATATTCAACGCTCAGGCCAACTAGCCACGGTGTCCATGACTTCTTGTTCTTGCTTTTGGAGAGAGCCAGGGCATATATGAGCGGCGCCAGAATGTGGAGTACCTCGGCTGCCTGGGCACTGCCCTGTAGTTGGTTCAGCAGCTTAGCCGCCGGTTTGATATCTTCGGCAGTCAGGACCTTGCCCAGGAGGTACCCGCTAATATCACCAGCGTTGGGCAATGAAGGCAGGCTCATTCCGGTTCTTGGCATGACCCAATCCTTTTCGTGTGGCTTTGGGGCGTCATCGCCGTCTCCTGGTTCATGACTGGCAGTAGACTCGTCCAGCATTTCCTTGAGGGCGCCATCACCGTCGGCTTCCGGTTCTTCCGGGACAGGCTCACGCTCGGGAAGTACGGGTGAGACAAGAGGCCGTGAGCGCGTTACGCGCAGTAGCAGCAGGCGGCAGATGGCTTTGATGGCTTCTAACAGCACAACTACGCGCCATCGGCCGCGCTCCCCTCCGCGCCTCTTGGCTGCCATCTCGCAAAGGAGTTGTGTGTAAGTGACCATCTGCAGCAGCATGGCGATGCGGCGGTACACTGGACTGCGTTGGGTCCAGTATTTGGTATAGCGTCTATGAGGGGATGGCAGCCGCGCCATGGGGATGCGTGATAGGGCGCGCATGAGCAGCGTGTCATGATACAGAGACAGAAGCTGCACACTCGAATGGACTGTTTCAGAGGCAATCTCGGCGTCGCGAAAACGACCTGTGACGACTTGGTTAACTCGCAGGCCATGACAACGGGCTGTGGAGGGGTGCGAGTGTTGGTTACCAGGGATGATGTAGGTCAGTGACCTCAGAGCCGATTCTATTTGGGAGACCTGGCTAGCGTTCTTGGTGATGAATTCGTCGTACATGTGAAGCCATTGCGGCGGCAGCGACAGAACAGCGCGAATCGTGGACGGTTGATGCGAAAGGCGGGTTTTGTTGGGGATATCGGCGGAAGTCGACATTGCGCAAGGTTTACAGCATCAGGAACGCACGCTATTGACGCGCGAAGAGTAGGGTATGATACAGAAGAATTATTACAGAGAAGAGGCGCGCGGCAGTGATGCAGACTGGGGCGGAATCGAAGAAGAAAATTGCGAAGTAACAAGGTTTTGACGAATGACGCCGACGTGGATGGATGTAGTTGGAGAAATGCGAGTTGCACACCGGATAGGTTGGGGTTATCAAGGTAAGGTCACGTAGGCAGGTACCCCGGGCAGCGCATCGCGACTGGACGTGGATGGACTGCTGCTGCTGTTGCTGGTCCGAGCCCGCGCTTTGAGCCGAGGTCGGTCGCCCTGCCACCTCTTGGCCCGGGGCTGCGGACACCTGATGACCGTGGGTACCTACATAGTACGTAGGTCGGGCAAAGGTGTTTTTGGAACCCCACCCTAGATGCACTGGCATGAGATAGGAAAGTGCTGTCATCATCCAGCGCCCAGGGCATTGAGCCAATGAGATTATGTCGCATACCTCTGTGTGGGTGACCCCTGTCGGCTCAACTTTCCTCCCTTTCTTTGCACAAGGGACCACCATCTTGTATCGGACGTTTTTTTCTTCTTCTTTTTAATCTCGAAAGAGGAACGGAACCACTTCATTCGTCACGTATCCTAGGTAAGACGTGGGAACATTCTGACAATACACGCACATGCAAGGAACTTGAGGAAATATCGGATTTGCTCTCCATTGACTCGCTCATATCTGCATTAAGCTTGTTACTTTTGCTTCCTCTTGTCCTTTCATCTCATAGTTGCCTATTGATGGCTGATATAGCCGCAACGATGTTATGGGATAGCGAGACCGTCGGCTCCAGACGACGAGAGACCGGCCGCATCTCTGCAGAAAAGGTGTAGGGTATCAAAAAACACAATGCCTTGCCCAAGGCCAAACTCCTTTGCAGGCAAAACGAGCCTCCGCCGCTTGTTCCCATATCCACCCCTACCCTAGATTCTCTCGAATCCGGCCTCCTCGAGCTCACGTCCTGTAGGCAGCATCGGACGCCCCTGCATCGGAAACGGCCAGAACAGAGGGTTCTCGAGGACCTTGGCCGCCCGCGAGACTGATGGCTTTCCGGGCTCGGTTCCCTTAGCGCCCATTGCTGTTGCCGGGTTCGGTACCTCGGCATCGTCGGTGCTGCCGCCCCAAGCGCAGATGAAGTCATCCTCAATGACGTTTGGCGCAAAGAAGTTGAGGCTGCTTGTATATGGCCTAACCAGGTGCGCGTACTCAGCATCTGATGGGAGCCTCTCACCCATGTCGACGTCCATGTTCCACTTCTTGGCCAGATATCGAAGAATATTAAGTGCCTGTTCCGCAAAATGATGGCACGGTGCCATCTCCTCCAGGTCTCTGATGCCTTGCTTGATCGCCTCAACAACACGAGGCGGATATGGTGGTTGGGCTGGTGTATCTACGCCGGGTTGCGCCGTTGCATCAAACCCCTTTTGCGGAGGCGTACCGGCCGCACCAATGGCCAGATGCATGATGGAGGATGTGAGGACAAAATACGGGACGAAAGACGGCGTCCTGCGAAGAGTGTAGAGTTGCGAGTATGAACGTAGGAGTCCTTGAATGGCATCCGCCGCCTGTCCACACACATCCCGGGGCAGCAGCTTGGAACCAATGATTCTCAGCTTGATGAGCGGCCGGAAGAGGAGGAGGATGGCAAAGTGGTAGTACATGCTGAAACAGATTCCGTCAGTGGTGACTCTGATACATATCTGGTGATGTACTTACTGAGCGAAGAGCACGGCGGGTGTAAAGTTGTGACCGAGTCTTAGTACCTCTGGTATTCTGTCATACCAGTTGAGATACTGGGTGTAGATACCCAGAAGGTCACGGCTGGTCAACGGTCTTCCAGGAGAGTGAAGAACGTAGAGACTCTGGTGCACAAGCTCACTCAGTTCACAAAAGCACTTGTACACAGATCGGACGTTGGACGGCTGCTCAGCTGAACGCTGTAACGGGGCGCCTAACGAAATCGTTGAGTCTTGTGCATCCGGCATGCTTTGTGTGTTTTGCAAACTCAGTAAAAACTTACCGTCATCCGTATATGGAATCCACAAAGACGCCTCAATGTCATCAATGATAGCGGGCTTTGGCGGCAGATGGGGAAAACAGGAGCACTGTGGGAGTGAGCCAGTTGCCAAAGACCACGCGCTGAAGAAAGGGTTAGCTCGTTTAGCTCGTGGGCCAATCTTTGTAGTTTGTTGCGTCGAGATACTCACTGATCAAGCGCAAAGGCACCCCAGAAAGTGGCAGCCTGCACTGCAAACTCATCATCGTCTCCATCTTCTTCCAACTGGTGGAGACCCATCTCAATGGCTAAACGAATGCTCTGCCCTGCATAGTACCAACTCTCCGAGTCTCGGCCGCAGCTTGCCTCTCTTATCGACATGATACCGAGAGCTTGGATGGTGGTCAGGCTATGGTGGTTTTCCTCGAGATAGAATAGACGCTGGGCTTCCTTGAAAAAATGGTCTCCGGAGGTGTATGGATCGCTGGGGTTCGCTCTCGTGCTGGATTTGCTAGAGAATCGGCAACCCAAAGCCAAGAGCGCATTTACCAGTATGGGTGAACAATAACGATGAACGCCGTTTTGGAAATCCCTAAGAAAGTGCTCTTTGCTCAGTGATGCAAAGGTTGGATACTCCCAGCAGAAGTACAGGGCGAGAAGGTGCTGCACAAGAGAGCCATCATCGGTAATGTTTGTCCAGTCCTCGGGGGGCAGCTTCATATCGGGCAGCTCAAGCGGTGCGAGCACCTGGTCGAGGCCTTGATACTTGGATCCGCCTTCTGAAGTCTCAGTGTTGCTCGTTGACTCTCCCCATGTGTCAAACAGACCCTGTGGCGGCTTATTGGTGTCTGCACTCCAGTTCATCACATCAGGATGTGAATTGCTCCTGGTGCTCTGGCTGTGCGACGAAAGGTGCCACGGGCTGTTGGGATCGATATCCTGACGCAAGTTAGATTGCCCAGTAATAGGGCTCATGGTCACAGATCCAGGACCTCCGAGGTTTCTCGTTCTAATTGGCGCTGGTGTCGATCCTGGAAACCCTGGGCGGGCACCTGAGCCGGCGGTTGCGTCGCCAGCTTGCTCGGTAGGGCGGCTGAGAGATGTTCTTGAACCGCCGCCTGAGGGAAGCGTACCACCTAGCCATTCCGAGACTGATTCTAGGGATTGGCCGTTCCGCAGGCGTTGCAACACATCCTCCCACATATCGGAGCGTACCAAGGCGGCGATAACCTGGTCGCTGGATCGCTGGCGGTGGCGCAGCTGCTCGATTTCGCTTCGAAGGTGCTCCTTGGATTGGCGAACTGGAATCTCGTAGACGCACTCTACGTCTTTCTGGGCCTTGCAGCGGCCACATGGCTTCTGGCCGTCGCACTAAAGGCGAGGGTATTAGTAAGTGATTTCGTGGAGACGAGAAACTTCTAGCAAGGGCGAGATGTTGCGGTCGCTTACCTTGGCGCGCTTCTTGCGACACTCGGTGCAAGCATTGGGCGTAACGACTCCCAAGCCCCTCCTTCTTTTAGACAACTGGCCGGCGCCAGAGCTACCAGACGCAGATGGCGTAGGGGCGGAGCTGGGCAACGGTGCGGACGCGGGGATGGAAGCAGGCGCAGGGGCAGATGTGGCAGATGCCCCCGCGGAGGAGGCAGAGCCGGCGCCGGGCTGAGCCTGCTGTTGGGTGCCGGGTGCCTCCTCCATATCGGCGGTGCTTGCGCGCTTCAGGTTGACTGATAGTAGCCTCGAGCCGAGCCTACCAAGCAAACTCGACTTTCAAGGCTTTGTTTGGGAATTGACATAATGAGGCCGTTCAAAGACGGATACTGGTACGCATTGATCTGGGACGGAGATATCGAGCTATGGTCAGAGGGTGGTATTCTAGCAGCACCGAGCAGCAGCGTCGGGCAGCCGGATGATTCGCGAAAGGCCGAAGGCTGACTGGAAGACGCTCGCAAGGAAGGTACGCGGAGGGTTCGAAGTTGAGGGGAGAGAAGACGACGTAAGCCTGAATCGCAAGATGGGAGAATTGGTCGCCACTCCTCGTCGTCGGTGTTGCAGTTCTTGCTGTCGTAGCGAGAGAGCGATGGCAAAAGAGAACGAGAGGTAGGAGATTGACAGCAGCCACTGCCCCTCTTTCCCCCTTGGTGCCCTGGCTACCGAAGCATGCGCCGAGTGTAAACCCTGCAGTCCAACGTTGGAGCACCCTGGGATGAGGGTTTGTGAGGTGTGCAGGCTGTGTGTGCGTGTGCGTGTGTGTGCGCGCGCGAGCGCGTATCAGTGTGCGAAACCTGGGCTCCGAGGCGAAGGCTGGCACTCAAAACGTGGGTTGTGGAGAGAAAAGGAGGATAAGGCGACGTGTGACGGGCGGAAAATGCAGCTCGTGATGAAGGGGAAAGTAGTGGGAAAGGTGGGAAGGAATGACGGTGCAGCGGCCGGGTCGGGTCCCCAATCCTCAAGCGCACACAGACGGGAGATGGAGACAAGGCACAGACGCACAAAAGACGAGGTGCTATACGGATACAGCAGACAGTGACGGCAGGTAAGGTAACAGGGCAGCTCCTTCCCCAGATTCCAGAGCTTCGAGCCGCGCAAGGTCTAGCTCTGCGATGAAGGTGGAGGGGAAACTTTTTTGCGCGCAAGGTAACAAGGCAAGCACGCACAATGGGCGAGACAAAGACGAATGGGAAAACCTCACCGTAATGTTGCCCATTGGCATATGTGTTTCCTTCGGATGATCTTTCTATAAGGACCATCACAAATCACATGGTTGACTCATCTAGCTCCAAGGCACCTTTCCTATGCCATGAACGAGCTCAAGCGGAAAGGGGGGAAGGAGGGAGGAGGAGGCACAGCTTTCATGCTGGCGCTTGGTCGCTCTACCTTGTATTACACACCCAATGCACACCCATCCCACCGTCTCGGTTGATACACATGGATGTCGAGAGTAGTTTGTCTCTGACGAATATACCAGCTAGACGTCAACCATCACAATGTAGGCAAAGGGCACACTTCACGTAGTACGTGCACCCTGTCAATAAGCAACCGTAAGAGTGGACTGTGTACAGACCTAATCAAGGCGAACACAGTTGCCCAAAATGCTCGGTATTACTATCCCCTCGCTCAGTCTGGGACATGGCCGTCGTCCCTGCTGTCTTGATGATGCCTAAGCGCTAAGAAAGAGCCTTTCTGCACGTAAGGCATGATACTACCTCATTGTGTACATGCAGGTATCCATCCGTTCTGATCTTGGTTTTTTGTCTTTCTTTTTATCCACATGGACACGGCCGGTGAGTCGCCGGATACTCACCCTAAAGTACAGTACCTCGACCCGAGTATCGCGAGACCTACTGCACGATACCAGCAACTCATCATGCCGCATATATTGACGCCATGATGCCAGACAGCCTTAACTCTTTCTACTACGACTAGACGGTCTAAGCCCGGCAATTGAGCCCTGATCTAGGGGACGGTGTGCATTGTTCACCCAACCCAGATTGCCAGATTGTCTCATCAAATTTGCATCGGAGCCCTGTGTACCTGACAAGAGAACAAGATGCTCAAAACACAGAGACCACTGCGATGCGATGGAGGCTTATGTCCGCCATACCCGCCCGCCCGACTTTCCAGCTGGAAGTTTTCCTCCGCCAGCCCCCTCTCTCGGAATTTTGTAAGCAGTATTTCATTGTAGCACCGAGCATAATGCGTCTTATGAAACCCTGGCCGGCGACCCTCACTTTGCAGGGATTTCCTTGCCCGCCAATCCACTAAGGCACAAGTACCTGAGAAGGTTCTTCCTTGTCAGAGCACTGATACGATGAGTGGTCCTGGGATGGCATCACGATTCTCCCGAGGCTGTGACGAGAGAGGAATTAGGTTTGATGCCCCGCGCTCCTCAAGACACAAGCTAAGGCCCCATCCCTTTCTCGAGAGCTGGTTGGAGATAATGAGAACAACGGGCTTGCAAACTTTTGCTCCGGCTGGTCCAAAGGGGGGTGGTGCCTTGGGATTTCCGTGCCTCAGGAACCCCGGGATGTCCTCAATCCCGCGGCGTAAACCAAGCTGGCAACTTCAGAATGCGCTCATTCCGCCGATGTCTCGCAATACCAAGGGCGCAGCAAGCAAAAAGCCACCCCTGATATCGCCCACCAATGCTGCAACGACATTCTCGTGAGGCACGTTATCATACTGGTATGTGTACTGCTGCATAGAAGGTATCGGTACCCGCCTCGCCTAGCCGCATGTCTTTCCCCTCAAATACACGTTCCAGTGGCGGTGTCTTGCTTGCTCGATGCAGGGCAGAATTTGGGGTCCAACACCTGATTCTCGGGGTAGCACACCTGCCCAACAAGACAGAGGATGACGATCGTACTCTGGTGGCGGCGGAATCTACTCCGTCTCGTCCGCCGAGCTGCGTGCTTGACGTAGATGAGCAACAACGTCCCGTCAACGAAGTTCAACGACAGACATCGCGGGCATCGCGGGATTCCCGCGAGGCTTTCAGCTGTCAGCCTCAAAATTACTCTATTAGGAGTGCTCCGCTTTGCCCAACCTCCCGTCGTCAGAGCCGTGGGTTTTTGGTTGCGCCGCACGACTCAGGAACCTCTGGTGTAGCTGGGGTCCATTCAGAGAGAGAAGGGGGGGGGGGGGGGGGGGGGGGGGGGCGTGTCGTGATTGACAGGCCCGAATTCTGCTTCAGCTTGACGTCATAAGATTGGTACCGACAACAGATGAGGTCTAGACCGTGCATGACTAAGCTCATCAGCGATCCGAGCTCATCTTGTGGGACCTGTGCTTAAAACGGCAACAACGGCGAGCCTCCAAGAGAGGCCAATCCGAAAATCAGCCATGACAGCTTGTATTTCAGTTTACAAAGATACAGCGTCAATTGACAAATGAACTTTTAGGTTTTTTTTGAGTCCGTAGGACGTAAGAATAGTATGAAATCCGGCCAGAACCAGTGGCTGCCAAAACCTTGTTTCCTGTCCGCCCATAGAAAGCGGCGTAAGCCGACCAGCTCGCCTCAAGCCGCCAGATGACACCGCATCTGCCTCAAAACCTTATCCCTCATACGTATATTATACAACTAAACCTCACAACTCCGATACCATGCATTGTGTTGCCTTTCGATCGCCAGTTCCTGCCTTTGAGCCTTGATAAAGACATGCGAAGCATCCTGCTCGCTCTCAGTACCCCTTGATGGGACTGAGTCCTCCATACTTAGTCGGGCTACGCAGTCGATCCCGATCACCTTTGCTTGGACTACGACGTGCGGAAGGCGTCCGGGGCGGCATAATCGACTTCATCTTTGGCGGCGATGCGTCCGTGTCGGTGTCGTCGTTGTCATACTGGATGTGACGGCGGTGTGACGGTGTTTGAATAGGAACCCACATGTACGCCTGCGAAGGCTCCGGGATTACCGATGGTTCCGGAGCAGCAACAGGCGCAGCGCGGTGTGACGGAGCCGGGTGGGTGGGGCCAGCATTGTTTGCCATCCGGCCCAATGTCAGGTTGTTGGCGACGATGCACAAGAGAAGGATGCCGAAGAAGAACACCTACGTAACAATGTCAGAAGACGAAACTGCAGATGAAGAAGAGATACGTCAATGCTTACCCAGGCCTTGACTTGCATGGCGCCGGCGAATTCGTTCAAGATTTCCGCGATTTGCTTGACAGTGACTCGAACCCTCATAATGGCAGAAGGATCCTGGATCATGCACTCATACCATTCGTCGCACATTGCCTTCAATGCAGGCCGGTCCTTCTTGGCGCATTCATTCAACTGGTATTCGGTCCGGCACTCAGCCATCCTATTTTCGATTTCCAGACGAGCCGCGTCGTTGGCGGTTCGAATATCCGACCGAACGGTGTCCAAGATGGACCAGCAGAAAAAGACAAAGGCCGACACAATGATGCAGTTGACCAAAAGTTGGATCCAGCGATAGAGATTTTCGGGGGCGTTGGGGTGTTCCTCCAGAGTGTGGAATAGATTGCTGATCCAGCCGCTGCCGTTCTTGTTCTTCTTCTTGCTGCCCTTGCCCCCGCGAGCTCCCGCCGAGCGAGATCCATCATCGTCCGAGTCGTCTTCCGAGTCATCCCAGTCTTGTGAGCCGTGATAGCGTACGCTTCCGACATCTCTGTCCAGGTTGTGTCGCTTCCGCTTCCTTATGGCGGGGTATTCTCGTGCACTTCTAGGGATCTCTCCCTTGCCCGGCGCATGGCGCTTGGATGACTGGAGACCGGCCTTGCCATAGCGGAAGCTCTTGTCAATCTTGGAAGGCGTAATGGTGCCCATGTTCGTGTCTCCGTATCTGTCGACGTCGGGGGTATCATCTGGAAGCTCGGAATTTTCGGTCAAAGCGGGGCTCGATTCTGCGCCTGAAGCCTCCGAAAAGGCACTCTCGTCAAAGGGTTTGCGCGGGGTGGTGAAAGCCGGGTTTCGGAACGGTGGCGCCGTGTTGCTGCTCTGTATCCTGGGGAGAAGAGTGATGTCTGTGGCAGGGATGGAAGAGGCTTGGAGGGGCTGCCCGCGAAGAGGTTCGGCTTGGAGGGGCTAGAGAATGGGTTCGGCTTGGAGTTTGCGAATTTGTTCGGGGAGTTGAAGACTGCGGGTCGAAAAGGTAGAGTCAGAAAAACAGGTGTCCAAAGGACTAAGCGATCGATGAGGATACAGAGTTCCCTGTACCAAGCTGCAACTCACTGTTCTGAGTGTTGCTCTTTGCAACTTGTGAAAACGGGCTGGTCGCATCTAGAGGGCCTCGGTCCTGATATTCCCATTCCATGGGGCTTTCGTAAGTTCGGCGATCCATCGTGAAGCTCCTTGCACGCAATGGCTTGTGGGTGGACAAAGCTAGGTGGATGTTGTGGGTGAGATGCGCAACAACTCTGGTCGCGATCAGTCCGGGGTGGTGGCGGCCAGGGTCGAAATATTCTAGGCGCCGGCTGTCAAAGAACCAACGAGCGACACTCACACAATCCAAAGTAAACAAACCGTGCCTGAGGCAACAGAACCTTCCGTCGGTTCCAGCCCGATACGTACCTTTTATCGATAAGCAAGTGTAACAGCAAATAACACTCTTGGCTCGGCTTTCAGCCACAATGAAGACCCACCTCTGAGGCTGGTTGCTCTTTCCAACTAAGTCCCTTTGCCTAAAGCTTGGACCATCTGGAAAACCGAAGGGCAACGACAACAAGGCGAGGCGACCTGCCATCCATCCATCCATCAAAGCCTTTCTAATTTCCACCCCCCCATCAAACCAAGTCGAAGCCGAGCTTCGCATCTCACAACAACGCGTTTCCTCAGCTTCTTCTGCCATCATGTCGGACATCGAATCCCTCCCAGAATCTCCGCTGCCCGATCGCGACGATCATGCCGACAATGAAGAACCTCGCGAGGGCGCCGGAGGCGCGACTGCCACCGAGCTTTCTGACGACGACCAACTGTCGGAGATGGACGAGGACCAGTTCGAGGACTACGACCCAGAGACAGCCAACATTGAAGACCGACCAGTAGCTGTTGATGAAGACGTGGCTAAGACCCTCAAGGCGTCGAAGCGCAAGGTGGCGGACGGTGCGAGAGCGAAGAAACCAAAGGAGGGACGTCGAGAGAAGAAGAGATCACGCGATGATGAGGTTTCTGGCGAGGTGGATGGTGACGCGGGACGGCCTGCGCGCAAGTCGAGACGGCAGGCTGATGGCGAGAGGAAGCCCCGGCCCAAGGCTGCCGAGCCCGAGATCGACGACGAGTCCCATCTCACGCCAGAGGAGCGCAGACGGCGTGCGATCGACCGGGCGCTGGATGCCGCCATGAAGGGGCCTGTGAAGCGGAAGAAGAAGAAGGACGAGATTGTGGGTTGATTCCAAGATACGTGGGCTTTGGGCCTGCTTGCTGACGATGCACGGTATAGGACCTGGAAGACGAGATCGATGAGCAGATTGCCGATCTGAAGGTCGCGATGGAGAAGGCCTGCGAGGCCGACAACAGCGCACGCGAGGCCGGTCAACCAGCGGTTCACAAGCTGAAGCTCCTGCCTTCGGTGACTGGTCTGCTGAACAGGAATAACATCCAGCATGCCATTCTCGATCCCGACACCAACTTCTTGCAGCACGTCAAGTTCTTCCTCGAACCCCTGAACGATGGCAGTCTGCCCGCATATAACATTCAGCGCGACATTTTCAGCGCGCTGATCCGACTTCCGATCGAAAAGGAGGCGCTTCTCAGCAGCGGCATCGGAAAGGTTGTCTACTTCTACACGCGCTCGAAGAGGCCCGAACCCAGCATCAAGCGCATGGCCGAGCGCCTCCTTGGTGATTGGAGTCGACCTATCCTCAAGCGGACGGACGACTACAAGAAGCGTCACGTCGAGACGCGCGAGTTCGACTATGAGTACGTCTCCTTCCATCCCGGCACACGGCCAGTTTGCTCCCATGCTGACTCTTTTTTTCTTTTTCTTTCAATAGGGCTCTCAAGATGTCGCAACGCCAGGCCGGCAGCTCCCAGTTCACCCTCACCCAGCGGCCTTCCCAGTCTGCACGAGAGCTGGAGCGCGAGGCCATGCTGGCGCCCGTCGTCACCTCAAACCGTGCTCGTCCTGGCGGTCTCCCCGACAGCTACACGATTGCTCCCAAGAGCACGTACGACGTCTCGCGGGCCCCGGAGCACCGTCCCATCGGCGCTGGTGGCCTGGAGGCCTTCCGCAAGATGACGCAGAACCGCAAGAAGCGGTAAGCGAGCTGCGCGAGGTTTTCATCCCCCCACCCCCCGTCCGCTAGAGGAGACGGCTGCAAACTACCGCGACGAGTTCGGCTCACCGGCAGACTGTTGAAATGCTGAGTCTTTGCCTCCCCCCCCCCCCCTATTTGGTCAAATGAGCTTTACGAAGGAAGGGCTCGGCACTTGTATTATTCGAGCACAAAAGAAAGGCGTTTTGGGTCATCGTGGATTGAGGTGGCAAATGGATTCAATGGATCAGGGAAAGAATGCCACACACATTTCATGCAGATTTCGAGCAGAGGGCCCTCAGAATGGCATTTCCGCACTTTGACTTGCGCCCAGAAGGCGTACCGGGGCCCCCAAAGTGACTTGACCAAGAGATTCTTCCAAGGCGCCAATCAATACGACCGTAATGTGACGTCTCATCTGCACCCATGGGTCATGTGTGTTGTTGTGTGGATCCCATCGCGAGCAGACGTCTCCTCAGACCGGGGGCCATTTAACAACAGGCAGGCAGGCACGAAAGGTCGGCCTGGCCTGGCGTTCCTGCGTCTCTCCCTCTCTGTCTCCCGTCAAGAGGCCGGGCGGGACGTCTTTGTCCAAAAAACCCCCCCCGAAAATTGGAATCCTACACGACAAGGAGCCGCAACCGTGCAAAGAGTATCCCGGCCATGAACGGCGGGGGGAAGAAGGTTCAATTCAAGCCTGCGTTTACTCCAATGGCCTCGTCATCAACATCGGCACGCCTCCTCCATGGGACAAAGTCGACGACCGCCTCTTCTCTACCTCCTCACCAAGGCATCTAGCTACCTAGGCAGCATTCACCCTTCGCGCAGCCCATGTGAAAAGTCTCCCAAAAGGGACGCGTGGCCTTGCCTGCTAACTCCTTTCATTGATATCTAGTACCTAAAACGAGCCGCGCTGGACTCTTGCCAGCAAACCCTCCTTCCTTTCCTCCGCGTACAGTAGCATCTATCAATCCCTTCATGGGACCTCGACAAATCAATCAAACCTATCGGTCCTTTCGTGGGTCGCCGCTTGGTCTTTTTGTCCTCTCCATGTTCCCATTTGCGGCACTTTTGATGATGATTGTGTTGTTGTAGTTGTTGTAGTAGTGGTGGTAGTAGTAGTGGTAAGTAGTAGTAGTAGTAGTAATAGTGTATGTGTCTTTTGGCACTGTTCAAAGAGCAAAACTCCATGCACCATGCTAGGTGCGTGTGGTGCGTGCGGAATATTCAATCCAAATCAGGTACGACGATGCTAGAGACTAACGGTGCAGAATGCTGACCAAAAGGGGGTGAGGGGGCCGGTGACTGTTCAGTAAAATTACGCTGATATATTGGTGGCCCCCTCTATCGAAAGCGGCCGCCGTTTACTTTCCCCTACCGTTTCCGCACCTCTGTCGCCCAGCCGTCGATGCCCTCTCCCCGGCTACCGACTTCGAGCCCGTTAATCCGAACACCCTTCATGCCGGGTGTGTCGTCGAGCCACAAGTGTCCCGCCATGCCTCCCGCATTGGCACGCTTGTCGGGCACAAGCTCCAGCATGGGGGTCAAGAAATCAGCAACGCGCTTCGCCTCCTCCTCCTTGAAGTGATACTTTTCGCGGAGGACATCTGGCAGAGCCCAGTGACGCAGACGGTGGATGTTACGCAGCTCGCCTTTGCGGTTGAAGATTTCCTGGGACCACTTGCCTGACAGGCAAAGCGATTTGGGGAAAGGTCCGAGAAGCTCGATGATTTGCGCAATGTGATCGTCGTCCTTGCCGTACTTGGTTCCGGATTGTGGGTCGAAGAGATAGTCGCCCGTGATCAGTTCAAACACCTAGCGGAACATGGTTAGCATCGCGCGCGTATCTCAAGTTGCCTTGCTGCGTGTTTGTCATTACCATTGCGGCCATACTCCACACGTCGGTACTCGCGCCCCATTTAGCACCCAGTATGACCTCGGGTGAGCGATACTGCCGGGTCTGGATATCATTGGTAAAGTGGTGGTTGACCCAGCAGGCATTGCCCAAGTCGGCAATCTTGACACTAATAACATCAAATGCATGTGCATCCTCCGCTTTGCGCTTCTCTCCGGAGGAAGGTGAGTTGCTCGTCTTATCGAGGGAGATGCCCGAAACTTCTTTCGTGAGTAGATCGCTGTACAAAAAGCGGTCAGCATCAGATGGTCTCATCCACTTATTTCGTCGGGTGGGGTAATGCTCACGCTGTCTTTTCGCGCGTCTTCTGATCAGCGTCGCGCTTAGGGGAGGCGTCGTTTGACGATTTTCCGCCTGCAAAGACACAAACTGTTAGCCTGCGCTCAACCCCCGTACGACGACATTTGCAGAGTTGAGTTGAGGTGGTGGCATGTCCACGACGCTGGTGGTGCAGTTGGCGGTGGTAGGAAGGGCGGGGATTCGCATACCTTCGTGCAGTACCTGGCTGAGGCTCGAGTTGCTAGTTGGGAAGAGGTTGTTGTGGTTGAAGCTGGCATTCAAAGGAGACGGCAACGGCTGACTGCCAGTGATGAGGGTGCGTCTCCTTCTCCGGCCGTTCCTGTTGTTCTCCTTGTCGCTGGGCTCGCTCTTGACCACCTTCTTGACTATCTGTTCGACGTCACCAATCTCAATGAGGACGTTTTCGGGCTTCAAGTCGGTGTGGATGATGCCACATTCGCGGTGGAGGTAGTCGAGGCCGAGCAGCACCTGCTTAGTGATTTGCTTGACCAAGGGCATGGGGATACCTCGGTGGTTCCATTTCTTAATCAGACCCAGCAAGTTCTCACCCAAGACCTCAAAGACCATGCAGACGTGTGTGCCATTAGGGCCCTTGTGTTCGAAGGAGTCGAGCAGGCTGACGACATGCTTGCGACCGGGGTGGTCAGGCTTGGCCTGGACAATCTTGTTGAGGAGTTTGATCTCGTCAATGGCGGTCTCGGTGTAGTGCGCGGCGGAGCGGACGACCTTCAAGGCGACGTGCTTGCCCGATGTGTTGTCTCTGGAGAGCCAGACGGTAGAGAAGTGACCCCATCCAAGCTTGCGCACGACAGTATATTTGCCGTCCTTGAACTTTTCCCCAATCTGGACAGGGTGGTAGCCGCCCTTGCAGTAGTCCTCGGAATCTTCCTCGTCGGCGGTGTTCTCGGCGGGGTCTTCGCCCGACGACGTCGATGTCGGCGAGTTCTGCATGGCAGCAGAGAGTTGGTGGGTTCTGTCGCGAAAGAAGAAAATATTAGCTCATGCTTGCCCGAATATGGAGGCGAGCCAAAGTTGGATCGCGGAGCGCAAAGTGAAGAAAAGGCGACGCCAAGTACGTGATTGAAATGGCGGGGGTGGAGAATGGCAGGTCAATGGGCGAAGATTTCGCAGCGCCAAAACGGGCCATGAAATGCGACAACTCTAAGGAAGAAAGAGCAGAAACCTTGTCTTGAGAAAGCTCATGTTTGCAACATTGCGCATCCAGCGCGAACAATCCTATAGAAGGAAATCAGGAGGATGGGAAAGCGGGAGGCCGAGCGATGGTGAGACCAAAACAAGAAGAATGAAGAGAGAAGAATGGCAGAAGAAGAAAAAAGGATGAACGGAAATCCAGCGCAAAACTGGTGCCGCTCACAACATGGGAAAGTCACTGAAGTGACAGCGGCAAGTCCAGTCGTGGCCGACTGGGGTGGGTAAAAGTCTGGGATGAAGGGGAAGGGAAGGGAAAGAAGGAGGGAGGTTGAGGCAAGGCGAGGCGAAGCAAAGTTAGGTAGAGGTGAAGTGAGGTAAGGCGCGGGAACGGTTCAGCCAGGCAAAAGGCAGAAAACAGCAGGCCAAGCGATCGGGCAAGGTAGGGTAGTAGAGTAAGGTTAGGTAGGGTGCGCGTGCGGGCAGCTTATGGTGAGTAGGGCCCTGAGCCGGATATGGTAGAGGGCGGTAATAAGGTAGCAAGGAGAGAGGGAGAGAGAAAGAAAAAAAAAAAGAACAAAAAAGCAGGTAATCAGAGAGGGGAGGGGTCAGTGTTGAGTGAAGAGAACAAGAACAGGGACGGGAAGGGGGGTCAGAAAGTGGCCTGGCGACGCAAAAAAAAGTCCAGGTCTGGGCCACTTGGGAGCCAGTCCAGTCCAGGGTCAGGTCGGGGCAGAGTCAGGGTAGACGGTTGAGGGTCAGCGGGTACACTTGATTGAGTGAGTGCCCCAAGAGCGAGAGAGCAAGGGCAGATCGCCCTTTGCGTCAGCAACCCGTATTTGCAAGACGCACTCCAAGATATCGGGTATCGTACCGCCAATATCTTGGAGGCTATATGGTAGTGAGAAAAGGCAGTGATGTGCAAAATTCGGGTTCCGTTCAGTCCAGTTCGATCTAGTTAGTCCAGGTCCAGTCCGGTCCGGTCCAGTTCAAGTGAGCAGCATCCGGGACGTAGGCGCTTCATGGCACCCCCTCGATCAGCGTGAGCGCCATCTAGGCCTCACGCCTCGCATCAGGTTTTTCTCGGCGATTTCCCCGCCTCTTCCTCGTTCTCCTGAGAGGCACCCGTCGTCGCACAGGTGGAGCGCGGCGCAAGGTATGTTGACTACATGCACCTCAACGTGCTGCGCATCGCGGGCCCAGCAGATGTGAAGCTGCAGTCGCGGCGGTGCTGCAACTGCTTGCTGCCGGCGATGGCGACAGCTGGCGACCCGTAAAATCTGTGGAGGAGCGGCCCTCGTCGTCTGGCCCATGTCTCTCGAGCCAAACAAATGTCGATCTCCGGCCAATGGCTTCCCTGTGCAACGGCCATGATGCATCCAATCCAAGCGACTGAGGCCCAGCAGGTATCGGTCCCGCTGCGTCCTCAAACGGCTGTTCGTCCACTCTGTTGTCTCGTTGCCATTGCTGTCGTTGACGTTGTCGCCACGGTTTTCCTCATCTCCCTCGTAGCTGTTGCGGCGCAGCGTCTTCGAACGCAGTCCATCTCTGTGCATGTTCCCAGATGCCCGGGAGTGAGACAAGCTGCGCGGCGCGGTGCTGGGCACTGACTGGCCTCTGCTTCTGCTTCTGCAGTGCCGATTCGGACTGGACCGAACTGGAATCGACTGAACTGGGACTGGGCTTGCCGGACTTGACAAGCCAAAACTAGACTGGCCTGGTTGGATTCGACCCCATCGCTGACCCCCCCATACTGCGCCCCGCCACGAGCGCAGGGAAGGACGTGCGCCATCGGGCACGGCGCTTTTAGACAGGATAGAGGGGTAATAGTACGAGCAGTGGAGGGGATGGAAGGGTAACGATGACCTGTGTAAATGAAGCTTGGGGCGCCTAATGGGAACGGCACGGGGGTATTGCAAAGCGACAATTTGCTTGTTCCCCGCCTAGGGAACGAACAGAAATTAAACAATACGAAAATCGCAAGCAATGCAATGCAAATGGAAAATGCAAATCAAACGTCAAAGAAAAGGTAAGAAAACGCTCTGTTGATCAAACTTACGGGGGTGTCTCGGTGGTGATGATGGGCTTCAGGCTGTCCTTCTTGCGCTTCTTGGCCGCCATCGAGTTGCCGTTGGCGCTGGCGTTGGTGTTGGGATTGGCATTGGCGGCTGCCGGCTGCAGAGGCTGTTGCGCAACCGGTTCTTGAGCTTGTTGACTGCCGTTCATCGTGGGCTGTGGAATGTGTAGGTAAAGTGGAATGTGAGATGTCGTCTCCAGGTCGGGGAGTGTGGGGACCAGTTGGGGGAGCAAGTCGAGCCCGAGGTCCAGACGGAGACAGGTCAAGGTCAGCAGAGCGCGACGGCTGATGGCCTTCGATTGGTGATGTTTCGCCTATGGTGTCCAGTCCAAGCTCGGGGTACCCGATTGCAGCGCAGCGACTGTAAGTAGCTGTGCGCGCGCCAATCTGCCGGGTCTGGTCTGAGGTAGGGATATCGACCTTTACGTCTGAGGATATGTGGTATCAAACTAGTCGAACGTGCGGACAGGCGGTTTAGGCGGTAATTTGACGGTCAGACAAGTCGTCGAGCGGTCGTTCACTGCAGAGATTGGGGTGAAAATGAGAAAACAAGAGCCGGCAGCGTTGAGGCGGGGAAACGATGGCCAAAGAAAATGTCGAGGGATTTTGGGCAAAAAGAGGGGGCCAGCGACGAAGTGTGATGGCGATAAGCAGCGTGGCGACAGGATCCACGTAGATGCGAAAAGAAAGTGTGTAGCTGGATCGAGGCGCGTCCAGTTACCGGCAGCACGCGTGTCTACGACTACGATTCATCAGAGGTGTGTTTTGCGCTGTGATGCAATGCAGTGCGATGCGACGCGGTGAGGTCGAACGGGACGGACAGAGTTGGTTCGGATGACGTGCCGATGGTGTCGAGAAATACGAGAGAGAGTGTGTGTGTGTGTGCGATTGGTGACGGAAAGAAGGGTTTGATTTTACGGTTCGGTGAGTCGAGTATCCCAATGAGGCCGGAAAGTCGTCTTGCTTTCGCGACTTGTGTTGGTTTCAAGATGTGCACCTGTGATGCTACGGCCAGGTGGCCAAGACAGACGTCAAGGGGCGAGAGAGAGCAGGTGTGTTTGGGGGATGGCAGAGCGATGCAGCGTGAGTTCGGATGTTCTTGGAGAGGGTGGATGGATAGTGCAAGGTCGAGAAATGTTGGGTAGGAGTCGGGCGGATTCGGTCGCGATACGAGGGCCGTCGGTGGTGGTGTTGGTGGTGATGGTGGTGAGTCTAGAGGTGGCTAGGCCTCTTGTGATGAGCGACCGGAGGATGAGGAGGTAGCCGGAGCAAGAAAGGGTGGTAGGGGGAGGGAGGTTGGAAAGGTTCAGGAAAGGTGAGATATCTGCAAGGCAAGGCACAAAGCTTTGATTGGGGGAAGGGCACGGAAGAGAATGGACGCTGAGAACCGGAAAGGCGTAAGACAGTGAGTGAGTGGAAGGAAAGAGGCGATGCGACAGGATGGGATGGTATGGGACGACGGAACGTAGATAGTGTAGAATGGCGGGGCAGGCGCACACGGCGTGTCAGCGCAATGCACTGAAGATTTTGTCTAAGTCGGGATTTTACTGCCTTCAGGTTATTGGATGCGCGCTACTCCTTTCCATGCCCCCATCCAGAGGCGCGCTCGCCATTCGTACTACGGATACCTCTGGCTCGATCTCCCCTCGACGAGAAGCCGAGGACGTCATTGATGGGATGGGGATGGGGATGGGGGGCGGAGGGGGGGTCGTTGGGCGCAGAGGCAGGTGAGAACTTGAATGCGACAAGCAGCTGATGCGACCGACGGCAGATAGTGGGGGGTGTGAGCAGGGGCCACGGGATACCTTACCTTGGACTTACTGTGGTGCTGCGGGAGCAGGAGGTATGGGAGCAGTGGAGGACAATGATTGAAGAAAAAGAACATTCCCGACTCGAGTCAACAGCCAAGCAAGCAAGCACTCGATGATGGCCTAGCGCCGCCACCGCCGCCGGTCTTGAGAAGGAAGGCGCCGGTGACACATGCCAGCCAGGTCGAGGTACCTACTTTCCTCCAACGGATGGACGCTGGATGCAATCCTACTTTGCTCAAAATCAGATGCAGTCCCCCGACAAGCAAACAAAAAGTTTGACGGTGGCTGATGGAAGCAGCCAAGACGCCGCGTCTCACTTACACGCGCTCTATGGACATGTCTGTCCCGCGCATGCAACTAGTTCATCGGATCAAGGAGGCACATAACCTCACACAAGGGTCTTGAGTCTCTAGATATCCGGCTACGCCTCGAGGCACTGGTTCCGGGGACACGAATGTAAATATGCATATACATGGAGAGACAGCTGAAACCACGTTCATCCCGTCTAAGAAGAGCGTTCCGTACCTGGATGGAGGGGAGGAAGCCTCCAACTGGTTGGTGTTTTACACCGGGTTCGTCGACCGTGGGTGTTCTGAGGCGCTTGCGGGAGCTTCTAGATAGCGACCAACTGAGCGCGACATGATAACGCGCCCCAATCGATAAGCGTCGGGCGTTGTCGCAGTCTCCACCGGGCCGGGTCGAAGCTGCTGCCGCACCCTGTGGGAAACGTCATGTTGGACTGGGTTTGCCCGGGCCCATTGGGCTTAACCCAATCGACCACTCTCTCACCGACGCACGCCATCATACCGTCACTAGCGACCGGGTATTGGGTGGGGAACCACAGCCTGTTGTTCCTGGTAGGGCAACCCGAGACTGCTAAGGGGGGAAATGGCTGAGGCGCGGATAACGTAGTGTACCTTGCTTGTCGAGCCATCCATCCATCCATCCATCCATGGGCCAACCAAACCCCCATCAGGAAGACCCTGACTGTGACCTCACTCTCGACGAGAAATGCTTGCCAACGAGTCCTGTTTCTGTTGAATGTTGCCTCCCGTGTCCTAAACCTCTTGCCCCTACGATTCGTGACAGGCAAATGGGTTCGACAACTTACTTACATCGTAGATAACACTCAATGTGTCCTTGTTGCGCGATGCTTGAGGCGGCCGATGCAAATCCCCTCCCATGTCATGTTCAGTCCAATAACCGAGTCCATCTCAACCCCGTGTTGCCGCGCGACACGCCGCAATGAGATCCAGAGGAGCACACTCTCAAACTCGACGCAACCAGCTTCGCGTCTCTATCTCGGTCCTCGGTTTCGACACCTTTTTCCTCTCCTTCCATTCACCATCTTTTCATTTTCTCGTCTCCCATCTCTTTGTCGTCGACACGTTTGCGGAAACCCCAAGTCGGATCCTGCTGTTCCAAGTCTCCGGCTCAGCGGTCTCATCTTATTGGACGCGCCTCGTAGAGCTCAGAGAGCCCGGCCAACGTCAACAGGCTTGTTCCATGTCCCGTTCGACCCATCCCTCCAGCGCCTCCACGAGTCGGCAACACCTCCAACAGACATTTTCCTTGGATCTTGGCCGCGTCTTACCCACGCCTTTGGGTCCCGAGGGTAATAAAAAAAAAGGTCTGCCGACGTTTGCCCAGGTTTCGTGAAAAGATTTCTTCTCGACGTTGCTGTTCCATGTCACCGCTTGAGCCACACACACGTCTGCCCGCACACCGCCATGTCACCAGCCACTCATCATGAGACGCAATAACAAGAGACATATTGCACCCGCCAACCATACTACCATCACTGCTACATTTTTCATCTCATTAGCACCACCTCATTGGCCCGCCGCTGTCAGTCACAGGGCTAGCTCGAGGTGATGGCTCAGGCACCGCCCCTCATTGGGCGCTTCTCTGTTTCTCACTTGACGTTCTTTGTGGGCGGAATCCCAGACACACAGCCCTTGGAACTAGATCGATCCCTGCGTTTCCCCTTGATGATTTCTCTACCCGCCTCTCGAGGCCTGCGCCCCGCGCGCTGCCCAACCATGTGAGCACCTCGCTGCAACTCGCCGGCCTGTCACCTGCCATCGCTGTCCGGATTCTCGAGTCTTTGCCCAGGCCTGGCTTTGGATACATGGTGAAATTCCAGTAACGACGATAACAAATCCTTCCGGCAACCTGTCGTGCCAGGAGCTTCGAAGACACGAGGTGACGCCGATGAGCTTGGGCCCCTCTCACCGGTACGGGGAGGGCCGCGTATTCGCCTTGTTTGAGGAGACGAATCTCTATCTACTGCAGAGCTGCCGCGTGCCATGTTTGAGAAGACGCCTGTGCCGCCATCACCCCGGTCTTGGCAATCACATCACTCCTCTACTATACTGGGATCCGCATTTCGAGATTCAAAGATAGTCTTAACAGTTACATCTCGGAAGCCAGTCTCTTGTTACGGTTCCACGGAGAGCAAATGCCCTTCCAGCACGGAACAATGATATTGTTAGGACAGCCCAGCTGTGCACAACTACATCAGACAATGCCTTTGAACTCAAGTGATGAGGCGCTTCCTTGTAAGTACAAGTTGCACGCCATTCGGCCTTGTGGACAACGTCTTTGTCAAGGCATTGTTGCCACAGGCTTTCATTGTCGCCCAGTCGCAATTTGTGGCAACATGCGCTGTGGTGGTTCGGCCTTTGGATGCAAAAATAACGAAATGAGAGCATTGCTCGTGCCTTGTCTTTGATCATGAGAAGCTGTGGTCCATTTCGTATCGAGGCAGTTTTCGATATATGTTGCAGGAAACGACCACAAGCATCCACATCTACCAACCCGACACCAATTATTTTCTTCTCATCACATCTCCCATTCTCATCGTATCTTTGACTTGTTCTTGCTTTGGTTCAGCTTCACTACACGGCGGTAATCCCTACACATACACACACACACAGTGGTCTTAGAAAATGTACGTCACAAAAGGCTATACCCCCAGACTGGCTTCTGAACAGGTAGGCGGTACAAATGAGTATCTTATTAGGCTCATGAATTCGGCTCTGCTAGAACGGCATGTTGAACAGAGGTGGCGTTACAATGAACCACTAGTTAGCAACTCTTTTGTCGAGATTGCCTTTGCGGATAGCTCTAGACAATGTTGCAGGACTGCGTGGCCCAACGACTATGTCTTTCAGTCTGTCAACCCACGTACCGATTCCAACATGCCGTCCATCGTAGTTAACACTGATTTGGCCATGCTGGCTGGAAGATGCAACATCCACATCAACAATCTACACAGATTCATGCACTTCCCGCCCGTCCGAGCCGTTGTTTGCACCCTCCTCATCGAGCTGGAGCGCCCTGAAGCACAGTCTGGCCCCCAGCTAGACGAGAATGCTATCATTAACAGCGTTGATGAGACGATACTCAACACCAGCCCGTCAGAACGAAAAGAGCTGCTGACGCAGCCCACCGCACCAGGAGCAGACTTCGCTGATCGGGCTCTGGTTCTATGTCTTGTCAAGTTGTACTCTCACTTCGAGAGTTGGAGCTGGTGGGACCTTGGGCCCTGTGGCCACCAGTCCATTGCAAAGGTCCTCGTCGCCGTCGTCGGGCTCTTCTGCAATGCGTGGGTTCATGCCCCAGCCATTGACGAGTCCTGGAATCGCCTCAAGATGTCCTCCCCGCCCCCTTTTCTCTCCCGCGAATCCATCGCCGCCGTCGAGTCCTCCACATCTCAAGGCCTCACGCCCGAGGTCTGGGTTGAGTGGTCTTTGCTCTACGACCCCTGGATCAGACGAACTAACGCGGCTCAGATCTTGCAACCCAACCGAGACCAAGACACCAAGGACGTCGTTCCCGTCCTCGTCGCGGAGGTGTCACAGCCTGAACCAGAGAAGGAAGGCCGCGTCATCGTTAAGTATGACAAAAAGCCCGACGAGGAACGATGGGCTTTCAAGTCCATCCTTGACTCGAGGTGGGCCGGCAAGACCCCACGGACGGGACTGCAGTACCTCGTCGACTGGGAGTACGCGAAGCCGACGTGGCAGCCGGCAAAGGACTTGTCAGGCTGCGACCAGTGGGTGATCGAGTTTCACCGGGAGAACCATGGGAAGCCTGGCCCGGTGCCTAGGTTAAGGGGTCTTCTTCGAGGGTGTTGGGAATGATGGAGTTGAAGGCTTTGTTTCGATGAACTGTCTGCGTTCTAGTAGGTATCGTGCCGTGTTATCCTCGTATTGAATAATCAAGTCATCCCCATATGTCGCAAGCGCTTTGGAGGACGAATCCATTGAAGCCTTAACCTATACCCTTTGGCTTTCTTACATTGATGTGATCAGACAGACCATGGGCGAAGTCAATTTCACGTAGTCCTTTCTGAGGAACGTCGCAGACTTCAACCCTCAGCAATTGGTGGAGGGCGATGCCACTGAGAATAGCAGCCATACGAAGTTTGGCTCGCGATCAAGATCATGCTCGGATGCCGTGCTTTGACGAGCCTTGATGACCTTCACAGTACTGCAAGTCTGATGGGTTGGCAACTAGGACTTGAGTATTTGATGGCACGATGGCACGGTTCTCGCATCATGATATTCCGAAAGCAGCATGAGCGCCCGTTTCTGTCAAAGAACAAATGGGAACATACGCTTAGATGACTGCCATTCATCTCACTATTTCTAGTATGACCTCTGTTGAGATGGTCTCATCGAGGTAGCTGGGTTATTCTGAAGTGACTGGCTTTGCTTGCCCCCCATCACGATCTGACCACCCACTTCCTTCGTTGCATTTAGACCAACTAGCATCCAGCCACACTCGGAACTTTCTTCTTGCAAGGTTCTACCATTTTTTCCCCATACCGAATGTAGAGACGACAGCATCGCAAAGGATTTTTGCAGTCTTGGGTATGTAAATATACCCATGTCATTTTGTAAAAATGAAAAGCTTTGTTTCCTTATGAAAAATATAAAACTGGCTTATACTGCGCCTTCGTCGAGGAACTCGGCCATCTTTCGCCTCTTCTATAGCATCAGGTCTTCTTACCAGCGTAGCTCCTACATCGTTCGCTGACATGTTATGCGAGTGATTAGAGTTTCCATCTTTCTTCCGAGGCTTCTCAAGAGTATTTTATATCTTGATGACTCTGGCCGATCGCGATTCGGTCTCCAGATTTTCTTTGATCAAGTGACTTGGCTCATTTAATAATCTCAGACGTCCAAAAGATGAACAGGGAAAAAAGAGATCTCATTGCAGTGGATTCGTGTTCACGCACAACCTCGTTGTCCAAGAATAATTAGAAGGCTTGAGTTTTTCAGAGCAAGCTCGCAGAATCACCACGTCAATCCATTACTGCGAAACGTTGATATATACAATGCTGAAGCCGTTGTAGCTTGAGTCGGGAGTCGTCGGGGCACAGCCGTGGAAGACCGAGACTTTTATGGGGCCATAATTAACCGAGTCTCAGTCCACTCGGCCACCGGACCGGACCGGGCCAAGACTAGCTATGCGCCACAAGCACACATGATTGCGGACCCGAGCGGGAAGCGCGGCATTATTTAGAGTTGCCTACTATAGGTGGAGGTTTGGCCAAATATCTCACCACGGATGCTTGCGTGAAGTTTGGGCAATAACGCTCTGGTCGTTGCGCACAGCCAGACGGTCTTATTCGTGCTAACGCAACCGTCCCGGCGAGCTACCTGAGCCGGCGATAAAAGTCAAATGCTATCGCACGGCTAGTCATATGACGTGGCACATCTCGTGATCGAGCCCAAGAACCGATTTTTGGTTGGTTGCTGACGGTCCACTGCCAATGAACTTCTGGTCACTGGGCGACCGGTGTCGGCTGGCATGTGATGTCGCGAGGGCTATATCAATACTGCCGGTGAGATGATGTCACCAGGCTATATGCCACCTCAAAGTCGCAGCTGGAGACCCATACCGGTATCGTTCTGTTGGCTTTGGGAGTAGCGTCTGGAGGACGCCAGCCCGCGGAGGGCAAGATCAAGGGAGAACTCCGTCGGCCCCCGGACAAGTTACTAGACGGTACAAAATGAGATAAGCACCGGTGGTTACGGCTTCGAATCGGGTATACCGCAGGCGATCACGATCAGTGATCAAAAGTACCTGCTTACTGAATACCCGGTGCCCATTTCGAAGCTGGCCACCAGCGGAAGCAACCGCCGCACGGATGGAACGGTAAATGTGAGCTGGATGGACAAATGGGAGGCTGGGTTGCCCCTAGTTGGTTGGGTGACTGACCCCGCATGCTGATCCACAGGACATGTCCAAACCGTTGCGGACAGGAGAAAGCTGTGATTTGAACTACCTACTGAGGGTTGAGGAGACAAGAGGAAGTTTGTTCGCCAGAATGGGTTGTGCTGGGCCTGTAAGGAACCCCTCGCTGTGCCGCACCTGGGCAGTTTGGCAGTGCATTCGGTGCCCCCATGGCCAGCTGAGATGTGGCTACAGTGGGTACACACCCTGGAAGCCTCGGTCCAGCGGCACTGGGGAGGGAGCTCAACAATCCTCCCACCATGATTATACCCCAGGGGATCTTTGGTCGCACGCCGAATCCCCAGACCGCGCCTAGGCACTTGCCCAGATAGGAAAGAGTACATCTGACATCGGTACCTTTTCTCTTGTTCCCCTCCCCTCCTTATCGATAAGGAAACCCTCCGGAGATACGACCCGAGGACTCGCGCGCAAAAGTGATTAAGACAAGGGTTTCCAGTCTGTTCGACTCAAAATCGTCAAGTGTTCCCACAATCCAAACCCCTCGATGAACCTCCCCCTCTTCCAACTCCGAAGCGAACTGACGCAGCGCAAGGCGAACCCTGCGCCGACCCAAGCCCCATCACCCGTCGCACAACCTCCCCAGCCGTACTCCGGCCTCCCCGAACGTGGCCACGCCGCTCTTGGACCCCCAATTCATGAACTGCACCGTCCCAAGCCACCTCCGTCTGGCCGTCCACGCGCCCGACGACCGCCCCATAAAGACCGAGCATGGGCCCCGCGCCTGATGATGGAGGCTCAGCGATTGAGGACCCCCGACCCGACGACGAACTCAACAACAACAACAACACCAACGCAAACACCACCTCTTCCGAGCCCGCAGTCCTGGCTGGCGCCAACATCCGCACGAGAGCCCGGACCATGACGAGCACCGAAGAAATCGACAATACCATCATCCGGCCGGGCTCCGTCCGTATCAACGTCAAGGGCGCCTTCATCGTCGATCCGGACTCGAGTTCTCCGAGCAACAATGGCCGAGGTTCGCCGACCCACCACGAGACGAGCGATATCCGCCTGCCCAATCACCATGCCGTCGTGAGCCATATCGCCGTTGATGTATGCGACCGTCCGCCCTGTCCCGAGTTCTCCTTCGATGCTAACATGCTGTCGCACAGATTGGCGGCTCCCTGATCAAGCTCGTCTATTTCACGCGCGAACCTCACTCTGCCGAGCCTGGTGGCCGCCTCAACTTCCTCAACTTCGAGACCGATCGCATCGACGACTGCATTGAGTTTATGCGCCACCTCAAGGATAAGCAGCAGACCCTCAATGGCTCCAAGCCGAACGAACTGAGCGTCATGGCGACCGGAGGTGGCGCCTTCAAGTTCTACGACAAGATGCGGGACGTCCTGGGCGTAGATGTGCTGCGCGAGGAAGAGATGGAGTGTCTCATCATCGGTAGGCCCCCTAATGTGCCCTCCGGTTTCGTGGAAAGCTCAAGGCTGATCCGCCCGTAGGTCTCGACTTCTTCATCACCGAGATACCCCGCGAGGTCTTTACCTACAGCGAGACCGACCCTATGCACTTTGTCTCGCCCTCGGAGAACATCTATCCCTACCTCCTTGTCAACATTGGCTCCGGTGTCTCACTCCTCAAGGTTTCGGGCCCCCGCGAATATCAGCGTGTAGGCGGAACCTCGCTCGGAGGTGGCACGCTGTGGGGTCTCCTCTCTCTCCTCACCGGCGCTCGGAGCTTTGACGAGATGCTCGACCTGTCCGAACGAGGGGATAACGCCAAGGTCGATATGCTCGTCGGCGACATCTACGGCGGCGACTACGGAAAGATTGGTCTCAAGAGCACGACGATCGCTTCTTCGTTCGGCAAGGTCTTCCGCATGAAGCGCACAGCCGAGAACGAAGCCGAGGACCACGGTGGTCTGCATAACGGCGACAACAAAAACGTGGGTCCTTCTTCAGACCCGGCCGAGCCAGCCGAGGAGGACCACCAAAACGCCGCGGAGCACGCCTCAGATCAACCGTTCTCTGGTGCTGACATCTCACGGTCTCTGCTATATGCCATTTCGAACAACATTGGCCAGATTGCCTTCCTCCAATCGCAAATCCACAACCTCGACCACATCTACTTTGGCGGCTCATTCATCCGCGGCCACCGGCAAACGATCAACACCCTCAGTTATGCCATCAAGTTCTGGTCTCAAGGCAAGAAGCAGGCTTACTTCCTCCGCCACGAAGGCTACCTCGGCTCGGTCGGCGCCTTTCTTAAGCGCCAGCCGCGCAACTGGGGTCGCCGTGGTTCGTTCGAGCAGGCGGAGCCTCTTGAGCGCAGGCTGCGGGATCGCAGAATTCATGATGCGGAGATGCAGAGTCTCGTCGATGACTACGCCTCAGAATCGGGACGCGAATCGGGACGCGAATAAAAAAGAGACTTTATTTTCACCAAAAGGACGGAAGGCGGAGACGTTGTCTACTTTGAGCTCTCAGGCGTACGGCTGGGTGGCGGTATTTTCTAGCATTCAAGATGCTTGAGGACAGAGCATATGCGACATGTGGACGAAGTTGGAAGATATGACCGGTCTGGGCGGCCGGCTTCTCGACACATACCATTATATTTATCACATACTTACCAGTTTAATGTTATTTATTGTAGCTCGGCTGGTCTGTCGAAGCGGACCGAGTTGAAGCTGTCGGTATGCATTGCAACTTCCACTGCGCACCAACCCCACAAATGACTAGGCCACGCGCGAGATCCGCGTTCGCTCTTGGATATGGGGATGCGAGATGCGAACCTGCGTCTTCTACTACTTCAAAGCTATGCGTCGGCTGTTTCCGCCCCCACTCGTCCCTCCAGAGTGTTCAGTTGCGATCGAATGGCCCGTAGCCCAGTCTCGAGGCAATGCAATCAACCTGACATGCGGGCAGTGAAGACGATGTAAAAATCGAACGAATCACACCCCCCGCCCCCCCGGCCAAGGCATTGGGAACGTGTACACAAGTCCAGTATCGTAGGCGACCAACATTAGCTACGCGCAAGTAGCAGATATTACACTTACATGGAGCCGTTGACTCTCGTAGCATCACCACCACGGTGTAAGCGAGCTGACATCGGGGGCTTGACACATACGGCCATGCCCACCGGACAACTCGGGGTCCCGTTTGCTCTCTAACGGACTATAGGCCCACGAGAATGGCGTCAAACTGTCGTCAGGGATGCCACGAGGTCTAAAGAGCCTTTCACCGGCGTCCCGAGGGCCGGCGTATAAATCACCTTCAGCCCTTCTGATCGTATATTGTTTTACGAAACAGATACCTACAAAGACTAATCTTCAAACCTTGCTACGTCCATGCCAGACTAGTATGGTTGAAAAGGCCAAACATTCAGGGGCAGACCGCCTCTCGGATACGTGCATGCTTCTCACCAGACGAAACTACGCCGAGCGTACACGATGGCGCAAGTTCTCTGCAGGCAAACGCACAGCTCATGTTTATGTTTCTATGGCCTGTATGTGTAAACACAGCGGGATGAGTTCAACCGGGGTCGACATTACGCAAGCGCGCCTATCCGTGTTTGTACATACTTCATCATCAGGTAGAATGATAAACGGAGTGGTTTTCTTCATTTCATTCGAGTCTAAACACCACTCGTCTCTTTCCAAATCAATTATAGTCGAGACGAAAAGACGTCCCTAGATGTGAGCGCTGAAGGAAAGACCCGTTTATGGACGCAGCATCCGTTCAAGGCGACGCTAGGTTGGCTTTACACCAAACGGAATTGCGAGGGTCGTAAAAACCCTCCCATGGCCAGCCTTGACACCCCTCCGGGCGCCTCCTGCGAGGTTGATCGTGTATGTAGAATGCGGTACCACGTGGAGGGCGTGCACTCTGCCCAGGAACACCAGTCGCGGCCATTTTCAACAGGTCGAAAGAAGGAAGGGAGGAAGGGAAGTACGGCAAGATCACTTCGCCGAATCAGTTTCCCGCTGTCATGGACCTGTTGGCACTCGTTACCCTTGAGACATCAGGTTTGGCATCTTCCCCGTTGCGAGGGATCGTTTTCGGAGTCGGCTCAACATTTCGGCACCACTTCCCACACCGTCGACACCTGGTGTGCAACAGTGTTCTCGGATCTCAACATGAGGGTCAGGGGAGGGCTTGTTCACGACAGACATCGCAGACCCAAGAGCAACATACCTCACTGGAACCATGTGAAAAGAGGTCAAGTATACACATCTTACGACTTCACTTTGACATGGCACACATGAGACATCACAAGACCGAATGGATTAGAACAAGAAATTTTTGTATAGAGCGCATACTGTATTCCTCTCACAAGGATGGAAACTATTAAATATTACACAATCCAACCAGCCAGGGTATACCGCCGGGGTCCAACACCTCCCACTGACCTCCTTTTCTGGTACATTTGCTTCCAAAGACCCAAACAGAAAGAGAAAAAAAAGTACAGGGGAGAGATGGAAGTCAGGCGCTATGTGTTCAGTCCCTATCTGATGCGCTCTAATTCGCGGCCAAGTCTGTTGTGGTAAAATGCAATGGTAAAGTAAAGTCTTCTCAAGGGTATAAGAAACCCCCATTTTCCAGAGACCAACCAACCCCCATGCAATTGTTTGTTCGTAAGGATCGTAAGAATGGTATGTATGATTGTAGGCTTTGTAGGTTACAGAGTCTGTGCGTGCAGCGACATTTGGACAACAAGGAAACGTTTTTCAAGAATTCCTCCGACTCGCATAAGGGTCAGCTTAGCAGAATGGGAGAAGTGAAGGGACCATGTTGCCAAGCTTAGAACGCAGCGAGGACAGCAATGGCAACGACGGCGCCGAGGCCGAAGGTGGCCTTGCCAGCACCGGCGACAACAACGCCGGTGGTGGTAGGGACGGCAGCGCCGCCAGTGCCGAGAGGAGCGGTCTTGCTGGCGCCAGCGGCGGGGGTGGTAGGGTAGGGAGCAGTCGGGACGGGGGTGTTGCCAGCCGGGGTGGAGGGGGCGGGAACGGGGACGACGTCAGAGCCAGAGTTGGTGGCGAAGCTGACGTGGGGAACCTCGAGGGTGGTCTTGATAGTGGCAGTGGTGGAGGAGCCGGGAACGGTGGTGCCGCCAGTGACACAGGGGACGACGATGGTCTTGTCGACGGTGACGGTGGTGTACTCGGCAGGGTTAGTGGCAGCGGGCTTGCTGGCAGGGACGGTGATGGCCGTGGTGATGGCGGCAGGGACGGTAACGATGGCAGGGTTCTGGGGGATGTGAGGAGCGCAGATACCCTGGAAGAACTGGGTGGCCTTGGAGATGATCTCATCGCTGGCACCGTAGGAGTAGATGCAGTTGAAGACGTTCTCGACGAACTTGGCGTCAGGGCAGTAGCAGTTGGCATCGGAGTTGTCAGTGCAGCCGGAAGACCAGATCCAGGTGCTCAGGCACTGAGGAACGACATCGGGGCAAGGAAGGGTCTCGACGGGAGCAGCGGGCTTGGTAGCAGAGGGCTTGGAGACGGGGGCAGAGGCAACCGGCTTCTCAGAAGAGACACCCTTGGGAGGCTGGCCAGCGGGCTTGGAGGGAGCAGCGCCGGGAGTGTGGACAATGGTCTCGGTGACGGGGCACACGGTGGTGGTGAGGGGAACGGTGACGGTGACCAGGGCGTGAGAGTTGGCGGGGCAGTTGGTGACCTCGGGAGCGCAAGAGGTGACGGTCTCGACACGGGTGGTGTAGATGGTGGAGGTGGTGTCGTAGACAGTGGTCTTGGTCTCGGGGACAACAGGGGTGGTGACGACAGGGACGTTCTCGGTCTTGGCAGGCTGAGTGCCGTTGACGGGGACGGGGACGGGGATGGAGACGGTGGGGAGCTGAGCAGAGGGGGTCTCCTCGACGGGCTTGGTGACAACGGGGGTGGTCTCCTCGGCGGGCTTGGTGACAACGGCGGTGGTCTCCTCGACGGGCTTGGAAACGGAGGGAACAGCAGCAGTGGTCGACTCCTTGATGGGGATGGAGATGGAGGGAAGAGCCTCAGAGGTGGTCTCGCCCTTGCTGGGAACGGGGACGGTCTCGGTCTCCTTGACGGGGGCAGTGGTGGCGGGCTTGGTCTGCTCGACAGGCTTGGAGATGGAGGGAACAATGGCGGTGGAAGTCGCCTCAGCAGCGGGGGTGGTCTTGGTGCTCAGAGTGGTGGCGCTGGGGAGGGCGGCGCTCGTGGTCTTGGGAGGCGCCGAAGTCTCGGGGGGCTGCAGTCGAAGTTGATGGTGTGGATGCCAACACCGCAGGTGGACTTGGGCTTGGAGGGCTGTTGGGGGTAGACAATGGTGACGTTCTTGGCACCACCGCACTGAGAGTTCTTGACAGTGGTTCCGGACTTGGAGCAGGCACTGCGGTGCTTGCAGCTGGATCCGTCGGGCATGTCGTAGTGGAACTCGAGGTCGCAGTCGAACTCGACCGTCACGTCAAAGTGGACGATGGAGAATTTGTCGGGGGCGCCGGAGCCGGAGCCGCAGCCAAAGGAGGGGGAGGTCTCCTTCTTCTGACCGCAAGAGCCAGAGATGACCTTGCCCTTGTTGAACGTGCGGGGGGCCAGGAGATCGCGCTTGGAGAAGTCGTTTTCGCAGGTCCAGCCCTTGAAGTCGAATCCGCCATAGTTGCTGAACGATCCCGTGTTCAGGTCACCCCAGGAGAAGCCAGACTTCTGCTTGTCGTCACACTTGTTGTCGGTGTTCTGGGGGCAGGTGAAAGAGGGGAACTTGTTCCAGCCCTACAGAGCTCGTTAGTGATCTGGGGGGCTCATCATCATGGTAGCGAGATCTCATGTCGTGATGAGATCCGGCAGCGTAGGGCAGATGGGACGTACGGTGGCAGTGACCTGGCTGACGCCGGCGGCAAGGGCCAGAAGAGCTACGCTGTTCTTCATTGTGAAGGCTGTTGGACGAGTATTCTTTGTTGAGTGAGAGTGGTACTTTGTTCTAGGGAATGAAGGAAACAAAAAACTAAGTTTGTATTAAGTTGAGAGTAAAGAAGCGAATGACTTTACACTCAGAAAGCGAATGGACTGTTGGTTTGATAGAACGAAAGTAGGAAAGAATGTTCGATGAAGGACAAGAATCGAAACACCAAACAGAAGCGGGAAGAGACAGAGTCTATATACCAAAGACAACTCCTATCACGGGGGTGACGGTCGGCTGTGAGGTTCCTCACCTGAGGAGGCGACCTCCCGGGGGGGTGGAGAGGACTGAACGGGGACGAGGGACGGGGTGGAGTCAGTAGGAGGTGCGAGTGCAAGTCCGTGCTGCACGGGCGACGAGCTAGTGTAGGCACAGCGGACCCGTGGCACGGCCATGGATGTAGACGACACTAGACATGGGGCCTGTGGACTGGCTAATGGGTGGTGGCCGCGGTGGGCGCAGATGTGGACATGGGATGGGGCAGAGGGGAAAGAGAGAGAGCATGTGTGTGTGTGTGTGTGTGTGTGGGAGAGAGGAAGCAAAGCGAAGCCGGGCTTGATGCCGGCCTGCTTGGTGGCCATCACCGAGCAGGGGCTGGTTTCTCGGAGAAGAGGGCAACTGACGGATGACTGGAAGACGGGGATTACAGGATGGAGCCAGAAACAGCACTGCCTTCTGGACATCCGGTACCTGGGCGGTTGAGCGGTTCCTATTCGAGCGAGTGGTGCTTGGATCGGAGCCAGGAAGAAACGGAGAAGGAGGGTTTAGGCCCCTGGCCCCCCCATGAATCCATGTTATCCATGGGGCCACGATCAAATGGCATGACGAGGACGGAACTCGCTGGAGCCCGATGGTCGTCCAAGTGTGGTGCCGGTTGGACGGTCATCGACTTTGCCAACTCCCGGATGGCCTCCACGGACCATGCAGGATGGACGTGACGAATTGGAAGTGGTGGATGTTCAGATTGAGTGTGCTCAGCCTTCCGGAGCAAAGGCAATGCTGGTGGTGATGTCGACGCTCATGCACAGGCGTGGAGTTGAGTGACAGCAAGTGCTGTAGCACATGGCATAGGGCATGGACACCGAGGATGACGATATCCGCAGGGTCGCGTTGAGCATCTGTCGATGGAGTCACGAATAGCAACCAACGCCATGTGGAGATGGTTGTGGGTGCACGGCTGAGACTAGATGACACCGCCTACTATGCTGGAGATGAAGGTGTCGTCGATCAGTCCAAGCCATGGTGGACGGAAGAGGCGGCAGCGAATGCAAGACAGCGGCGGTAGGTCGGCTTGATGATGGTGAGATGTTGAGTTGAGTCTGTGAGTGCGGATGGAGGAAATTGAGACGAGGTCGGTGCGTCGTCGTTGTCGCCGCCCTGCAAGACAGGACAGGAGAGGAGAGTTTGGCGGTCCGCAGGGCACAGGCGAGATGCAGCAGGCAGCGCGCATGGAACGGTGTACAACCAGAGATGCAAAAAATAACCCAGAACAGTTCTGCGGTGGGCTGCCGTGTCATCTGCCAGTTTGCTCGCCAATGCCTCGCTTTTCCCATCTCACCTACGCTTGGTCGGTACGTACCTTGCCCCCCTGCTTTCCCCTTCTTCCCGTTCAGGAACAGGATCAGGGAACGGAAACAGGGGTTGCCAACCTAAAGATCCCGAGAGGGGCCCGACGACACGAGAGCAGGAGAGAGAGAGAGAGAGGCCTAAGCTGTACGTAGGTGCTTTTCAAGTACACTACCTAGAAAAGGGAAGCAAAAGAAAGAAAGCCCCACAACTCTGATCCTTCCAGATGACACCGTTCACGAAAAATCCGCATTCTCTGGGCTGGCTGTTGGTGCCGTTTTCCAAAGAGGCTGACTTTGAAATCTTGGCTGGGCGCCATGAGATGCTTCACAACGACGCCTCCTTCTGGGATGGGCGGCTGTCCAATTCGACTCGACCCCGTGGCGCATCATCCTGCAGCTGCACCATGCCCCTCCCCCGTAATGGAAATGGTCGATTGTTGTCCAGTCCGTTTGGCAAGTGCCCTGCAACCTCACACAAGACTGATCATGCAACTCGTAGTGGACTAGTTTACGTAGGTAGACTGCGACCCCCAGGGTGCGCTAGTTTGATTTAGTTAGGGGTAAAAACGTTCTGGAGCCACCCAGCCGACTACCTAAACTACATAGCACCTACCTACCTGCCTTGGGTACCTAGGTACTCGAGATACCGTAAGTTAGGCTGGGTCCATTCGGCCTCTCCCAGCCAATCGTAAATTATCTCGCCTGGAGTGTCCCGGGAGTCGAAGAGACCCAATCAAAATGCCTTCGGCGGACTCTCTCCGTCGCCCATTCACTCCTCGAGCGTCAATCATGGGATGGCCTAGGCACGGCGACGCGCTGGTCTCCGCGCCTAACTCCAGCCCGTCCTGCGCTTGGGAGATCACGGCGGTGCGGAGTCCCTCTCAACCTTATGGACGGGTAAGATGACGATGCACGTAGTCGAATCTCCCCGTGTTATTTTCAGCCTCGTGTTTGCTCGTTCAGGCGACGCACGTCAACAACGATGGCTGACAACATTTTATGCTTTTGGACGTTCTGCAAGTTAGGGCCGTACCCATGCTTAGCCTCAACTTGCCTCCGTCTCGGGCATGACGGTGTACAGTATGTCGGGGACTGCCAGCACCCCGAAGTCTAGGTACTCTGACGGCACTGACTGGCCTGGATTGGATTTATGCCGCCGTTCATCCTATCTACCGAACAGAGTGCCAAGTAGACATCGACACTATACGGACTACTATGCGTACCTGTATGCATCCCTACTGCACTTTACATGAGGAAGCATCGGACGAAAAAAAAGCTCCTTAGCAGCAAAAAAAGGGGTCGGCCAATGACAGCTGCGCCGTCATCCGAGGGTACGCTCTGGGAGAGACAAGAGACGAAAAACTCGACAAATCAACTGGCTAACCCCCCTCCCCCCCCCCCCCCCCCCCCCCCCCCCCCCCCCCCCTGTCCGCGCCTCCGCACTGAACCTGTCGTCTTCCAAACAACGGCCAAGTCCCTCGTTCGACTTTCGACTTTCCTTGGCTTTTCTCTGCTGCAGATGTCAGTTGGATGGATTACTTGGGCTCGGTTCAGCCAGACGTCCTTGTGTCGTCGTTGACGCCTGCCCCCCCTGAACCCTCCTCACTCAACGAGCGCTCCTCACCCAGTCTTGCCAGTGCAAGTTGAAACGCTCAGCCACAGCGCCGGTTTCCTCGCCACGCTAATGCAGGAACAGGAACGGCAGCTCGCACCCAATCGTTGACCAGCGGAAGGGAAACTTCTTGGGAAAGGCCAAACCGGGTGTGACCCCCCTGCCTCTTGCTCCTTTCTTGCCAATTGCCTTGCCGAAGAAGGCGACATCTCCTCCCTCCTCATGGCGCTCCTGGTCCATTGCCATCCGCCCGCAGTGTCCAGACTCCATCACCCCACAACGTTCCACTTCCCGCCCCTGACGCCTCCGTCACATCGTGAGCCTTCGCTATTCCTCCCCTGTCCTGTCTAGCATCGATTCAGCTGTCACATCGTCCACTCCCATCGCAACACCCCAAAATCTGCAAAGAAAAAGCATCAACCCGCCCTCCAAACGGTCACACGCTTGCATCCGGCATCGCAGTCCCCCCGGATCTCACCTTCAAGGCTCTTCCCTCCTCCTCCCTTGCTCCCGATGAGAAGCCCATCGACAGGGAGCACGCCCGGCATCTGAAGAGGCTATGCCCTCTCAAGAACAAGAGAGATCCAGGGGGCCCCAGATCCTGGAGACGCACTTTTCCCGATATGATGCGACATGTCGGCCTTGTTGCCCAAACCCATCACCACTCAGTTCTCATCCTGGTTGACGATGCTTAGACCCTCTGGCCAGAAGGTCTACGATGCTCTGAGCGTCCCCTCGCCTCCTCCTCCTTCGTTGCTTTTGCTCGCTGCACACACGCGCGGTTAGAGCCTCTCCGTCTTCCGCGTGAACAGACTCTAACCAAATCGTCCGATCAAGGGTTGCCACGCCTGCCAAGCGATATGATTGATTCCTTGCAGCTTTTTTGCCAGGGCCTTGCCCTCTTGTCAACCCGCCCGGCAAGCAGAACGACGAGGAAAGGACGGATCGGCTGCTTTCTCTAGAAGATGTTGCGAACTCGACTAGACTTTCAATTGCTTCCGGGGCAGAGTCGAGCCAGCTTGCTATATCCAGCCTCAGTGAGCCTCAACAACAGCCAGGGAACCTTTTCTGCTTGCTTCGGGTTGCCCGTGAGACGACACGTCAAGAGAAGCCACTGTGCGTGGCCTTGGACTGGCCGAGAGCAACAACTGTTCAGGAGGGATCCAAACTGTCTAGGCCTGAATATCTATCCAAAAGATCCCCTCTAGAGGGAAACGGCTTGTTTCACCCCTTGGGTCACCCGGTACTAGCAAAAACAATTGTGGGCGATTGGGGATGTTGGGCCCAACGGCGTACCTATTACCACCTCAGCGACAACGTAACGCTAGCGGTGGTCTCGCTCTCGCTTTTCAGCCACCGACTCTAGACCCCCTCGGCGGTTCTCATCAAGTGTGTGGATCGGCAACCTTTTCTCGGTTTAGATTTTGTTTTAGATTTAAGCATCCTTTTTTTTCCTTGGCTGGGTGACCGGACCGCTGCACGATGACTGGCGTGTATCGGGCCACAATTCGAGACCATATGCAATCTCTCGGGAAGCGCTGACTTGACCGCGCGGTACGATGCGATGACTGCTGACAGGCGCCTCGTTCAGACAACGCACCACCACTTGCGCATGTGGAAGCTGCACAGTCTTGTTGATACGGATTCCATCTGAGACATACCGACACTCGTAGATGATGGCTGCGCGAATCGCCAAAACCCAGGCGGTTAGGCCTTGGCGACAACGGGCGTCGTGTTGCCACTTCCGATCTCGCCTGGCAGCCATGTCGGATGAGTAAACCTCGACGACACGGTCGACAGCATGTAATTCCAGGATGTTTTGGCGCTCCAGGCTGCCCCCGACCGACAAGGACCAGAGCACCACGGTTCTTACCAGCGTGACGTCGGCCAATTGCCCTATTGAACGCCCGCCTACCAAGCCAGAAAGAGCCGACACCCCGGGGCCCTTTGCCTAATCGGGGATCCTCACCTGAATCTGAGAACACGAGCCATGCCCAAAGTCGCCAGCAATACAACCAACCGCCTTTTCCTCCATCCCGAGTCCTCGAAGAGCCCTTCAATTTCCACTTGCATTTGTCTGAAACCACGCCTCTTGTTGCGTCAGAGCTGTCAAGTGTCGAAGAATCCTTTGGACGTGTACTTCAGACACTCAGCGAAGAAGGCGTCATCGAGGCTCGTGCGGCGCATCTTCAGCCGACCCGGCGAACGGTGCACTGGACCAAGGGGGGGGTTGGATGACATGGCAGGCGGAAACAGGGGACACAGTAGTCGCCTAACTCCGACCGCCATGGCAGACAGCGGCGCTCTGGTAACGCCCCATCCTTTCTGCGGACTCTTGACTCTTGCCGCGGGCGTCCCTAGATGCCAGCAAGAAGGGCCTTTTCCCGAACCCTGCAAAGGCCTGTCCTCAATCATCGGCCAGCTCCGTCATTCATCGTCCGAGAGCATTCATAGTTTCTGTGTCTGTCCTTTCTTCCCAGGCCGATATCCGTATGGAGGATGGCCACCGTGCTGCTCATTTCGGCGTCGACGTGGTATTCACTGTCGAGATGAATATTGAAATTCCATCCATGGAGGATAAGGAATTGGGGCTTTCGCGTCCTTCCCCAGAATGCATGCTATCTGCCCCGTCTTGTCGTCGATCATTGAGTTCCGCAGATTGGTTCAATACCTGTTTGGCCAAAAGAGGAAACCAGGACATCCGAAAACGGGGTCACTGAAGAGGTGCAGCGCAATTACGGCTCTGTTCCGATCATGAGATCGACTACTACCGTCGGTGTGTCCTGGATGCTCTTCTCTGCCCATATAATTGACCGGGTATTATTATCGTATCTCATTTCCCACGTCCCGCTGAGGTTCTATTCTCAGCAGATTTCTCTGTCAAGGCTGCATTTGTTTCCTCGGCACTTTAGGATCTCCCAAACAAGACGGTTCGAAGCAAGGGCCGGCCATGATGGTCTCCAACCCGTTGGTGCGCCGATGCACCTCCGTTGCTGGGCTTGCCTCGGTCCACCAGCGTCCCTCCGCGGCAGACAACCCGCCCCGAAGAACCAGCAGCCTCAGCCATGTCTCCTCTTCCCCTGTTGCTGGAAGCCAGGCCAGAGGGGCACCAGGGCCACCCAGTCCAGCATTCTATGCTCCGGTGCAAGTCTTTCACGGTGCAACCCTGACGGTGTGGCCGGGATCGTCGCTGGTTTCCCAGAGAGGAATTGACTGGCCCGACCCCTGCAACAGGGGTGCGAAATCTTCTAGTCTTCTTTCGACAACTGTAGACCTCGTCTTGTCCAGCGCTGACATCTTCAACCACCCCTTCTGGCCTCGCCTGCAAGCTAGTCACACTGAGCCGTGACGACCTCCATCTAACACAAGTCTCGGCCGTTCCATGCCGCAGGCATAAAGTGTTTATTCGCAGTTGTTGGCTGAAATGGTTAGTGCGTTGGGCAAGTCGCTCGTATACTTCATCTCGACTTCACAGTTCGATTGGAGGGCGTGGCCACCACAAGGTTCCCTCGCCTGACATTGGCGAGTCAACTGCTTACTCAATAGCCCAGGCTTCCATCACCCTTTGCCAGAGCCAGTCAGGGCTATCCCATTCATTCCATAGCAAGCAACATCGTCCGAACTCGTCGAGAAATTCTCCTATACCTCCGATCTCTAGTTGTTTCGACGTCACACTCCGCCAAACATGCATAATGTTCCGACCGAACACAGGATGGCGTTCTTCATGCGAGCCCTACGGTGACGTTGGAATGTGGCTGTGAAGTTTGTTGGTCCAATTGATCCCCCGACAGTTCCACATGCAGGACCGCCGGGGGGCATTAATGCTGTTTACAGGTCTTCCTGCTCTCTCATTGCTAGGAAATACGGAGATGGATTTGGCAGAAAGAACGTGCAAGGTTGTAGTAGCGATGGTTGAGCCGGCCAGTGGGGTCGGGGGTTAGCTGGTTTCATAACACGAGGCTCGCCGATGGTGGGATGTTGATCGAGGTATCCCTCCCCGCGACCATGGATGCTGTTTTTTCCCGCGGGACTCGTCTCGCCTTGCAGGCCCTCCTTACAATCTCCCAAAGCTTACAAGGGCATCAACCTAGTTGTTTTTTTCCCTCCGCGGGGCTCGAGGAGGTGGCTGTGAAACGCAAGCTGTTTATCTAACTCTACTTTTACCCGGTGTGATCGCCATCGCGACTCGGTCGCCGACGGCGATCTGCCGTGATCAATGGGGATCCCGGCGGTTGGCAAATTCCGCTTCAAGACTTGAGGAGGCGGTGTTGGGCCGCCGTGTGGCTTGCCCGTTTTGCGTTGGCGACGGCGTCATTTGAAAATCATGCTCATGGACTCTGCGGGCGCGTCGTGTGCCCGGCTTTACTCTGACAAGACCAGCTGAGCTTTCGATTCGGGTAGGATGGCATTGAGAGGTAAAGATGGACGGACGGACCAAGGCGGAGGCCGCGGGGAATTGTTGGCTCGGTCAGCATCCGCTTCCAGTCTCCTTTTGCGGCTCCGTCGTTGCAGCTAGATCCCGTCGTTTGTGTGTCTCGGGGTTGATGGGGTGTTCTTTGGGGCCCCGAAGGGGCAAGAGTCGTCGGGGAGGCTGCTGCATGTGCCCGTTCGTTTCGAGCGACTGCCAGAGACGATGCTCCGGCAACATCGGATCGGTGTTTGTTTGGAGGAAGCAGACTTGGAGGAATAAGCATGGTGGATTTCGCAAGCAAACTCGAAAAGTGGGTTGAGGCGTGTCTTGCTGCGTTGACGTTGGTGTGAGACAAGGCCGCCGCTGCGTCGGCAACGACAGCCCAACAACACGAGATGAACATGTCTCTCACTTCAAACGTTCACGGGTTCCCCCGCCGCAGTTGGATATATGGAAAAGTTTCATCGTGCGATGAAGGGCTCCTTGCGTTCGTCTGGGTGGGCGTCGATTTCTTCCGCCCGTCACTGTGTAGACACGCGCCGCGGTAGGAGTGTCGTTGGAACTGCTAGGCTGTCGAGAACTCCATCACCAAACGGTTCGCCGTTGGGTGTCTCACTCCCTGATGCTGGTTAGTTCGACCGTAGAGAGCACTTTGTTGGTACGGGTGAGACACTGACTGTCTCGGCCGCACATCTTGGGGGTGTCGGTTACGATGCAGGACCTGGGCTGATGAACGGGTTGGGGGGCGGTGCACCATATTCTGGATGAAATCTTGAGAGGTACCATGCCCGGGGCGAATAACCCAGTCCATCCAGTTTCTTTTGCAGGGAGATTCCTCGCCGTAAGCGCTCGTCGTCGTGTCGCGACAAGATCTGCTGCGTTGTGCGTCGGTCTCGGGCGAGTCGTGTGTGTGTGTGTGATCTCGGGGGCCTGAACAAAGGCGCCAACCCGAGCCTCGCGTCGTCAATCTTACAAGCCGGGGGGCGAACGTAAGCTCTTTGCTGGATGTCTGCGCGCCGTGCCGTTTTCCTCGACATAACCGCCGTGGTGATGCCGAGCGAGGCATGCCATGTCCAGGGATATCTCGCATGCGCCGCTGACGAGCCATCGTCGGCCCCCAAAGTCAGACTGAATTGGGGGCTTGGTCTTCGAGAAATGTTTGATCGAGGTGATGGAGGTCTGCGCGTAGAGGCTTGCGCTGGCGAACCGGCCGTCGCGCGGAAGCCATCTCCTGACCAGGGAACGGAACGCTGGAAACGGAGCGTTGGCAACGCCTCAGCAGTTAGGTTGGTGGTTATCACACGGCTCTGCCTTGTGGTTCTTCTGGGCGACAGCGAGGGGATCGAATTCAACCCCCGGGGGCTCAAACTCGTTGGTTTTCGCAATATCTGGTCTTCGAACGTTGATCTTGATGAAAACTCCCGTAGACGGAAGCAAGCCTCCTCCGTGAGGCACAAAGAACCGCATCACGGATATTCTTACTAAACCTGACTCTGCTAGATGATGTCTGTAAACCCGGTCGATTCGGTGCTCTGAGCGACTTGGGGAAGACGTGCCTGCTTCTACGACCTGGGTTGGCGGTGGCGAGCTCGCGGGAGGACGCATCTCCACGGCCAGAGACCCTCGCGGCTCCCGAGTGTTGGAAGAAAGAGGCACTTGTCACCAGTCCACATGGGTTAAATAGACCTGGCTCGGGAATGACGCCAAGTGTGCTGTCAGCCTCAAAAGAGGTGACGGGTTTAAGGGACAAGATGGTGTTAGAATCGATATCGTGCCTTTCTTAGTCCTCCCGTGACGAAGTACTCTCCTCATCGTCCATGGAATCAACAATCAGCCTCCTGGTCCATCAGGCTCGACCTCGTTCGTTCTCGACTGTCTCGTTGTCTTTCAATGGCCATGTGATGCATTCAACTGGGCTAGCTTGTTTTTGGTTGGCCATCTCGGCCTCAAAGAATACGTATACTCTTCAGCCGCCAGCACGGGTTTTCACAAAGACCCCTAGCCAAGTGCTCCTTTCAATGTGTTTGTTTCTTAATCCTCGAACCACCCTTGGAATGCAATTCTTATGGGTGAAGCTCTCATTATAATGCCTCTTGATTATGCATCATTAAAGGGTATCCATTCAGGTATCTCATCTAGCCTGATTGCTTGCCCATCTATCTGGGCGACGCTGCAAACAATACCTCTAATAACACAGTGCACATCGTTGGACGAGCACTGCTGAGATGCCTCGAATTACCCGCCACCCTGCATCCGCTTGAGACGCTCCTCGGCAGCCCTCGCCCTCCTCTCGCGATCAAGCTTCATCCGCATTTCAGGGGTGAGGCCTCTCGCTTCTTCCTCTCTCTTCTCCTGCGCCGTCTTGGTCGACGCGACGGCCGCCAAAGCGCCTGCCCTCTTCTTCCTGTCATCGACTTTGGGTCCCTCGGCGCGTAGCCTCTCTTCCTCTGCGCGTCTCCGCTCCGTCTCTTTGCTCTCCTTCTCCTTTCTGTCCCGTTCATCGCGCTTCTCTGCGTCCGCCTTGCTTAGTGGTGCCGGCACACGCGCGGCGTCCCAGTCCCACTTGTCCTCGCCGAGCTCAGACCGAGCAACGCGAAAGGCATCTCTTGTCGACCTGTCGCCCGCGAGGTCGAAGGGGGTCTTTCCGTCCTTGTTGGTTATGAGTGGAGACGCGCCGCCGCGTGCGATGAGGCCAAGGACCAGAGGCGCGGCATTTTGGTGAGCAGCTAAGTGTAGAGGGGTTGGTGCGTGATAGTTCTGGTCCGGTGGTTGGAACTGGAAGTCCGGACTGACATCATTGCTCTTCAAATAGGACAGCAGTGCCGGAAGTTTGGAGCGGCGTATGAAGGCCTGGATCTGTGATGTGTGTAGCAGTGCCGTCTCTTCCTCTTCTGTGAGCTTTGGCTTCGTGGGCTTGGGAGGCGCGGCTTTCGCAGGTGTAGGCAGCTCGGCCTTCGGTTTTGCTTCGTCCTCCGGGTTGATCTCTCTGACCTTTAACCTTGTGAGCTCGATAAAGGACCTCATCAACTCGTTCTGTGTTGCTCTTCGCGTGCTGAACGGAAACCCTCGTATCCTCGTGTCGTTGTGCTTCAAAACCTGTCCGTCGTACGGCCCGAAGAGTGTCCGGCGATTCGTCGCGCCCGTCGCTCTGATGAACAGCAGCTCGGAAGTGTCCAGCAAACCCTTCCACTCCTGCAGCAGGTTGCGCACATCATCAACCAGAGCCTGCTCATTGTACCTACGCAAACTGGACCCGGCAGAATGGGCATTGCCCTTGGAGTTGTCATTGGCGGATTGCGACCCACCCTGCTTGCGTCGGGTCGTATAGCGGTGGAACGTCTTATGAGCCAGAACAGTTGCTTCTCTGTTTAGTGCGCCAACAGACTTGTTCTGACGCGGTGCAAGTGACACCACCATGGCGGCAAAGTGGCCGCCGCCAATCATGCACAAGAAGAAGTGAGGGCCCTTGTAAGCCGCCGGTGGCGGCGCCGAGCCATCCTTGGGGACTTTGGGCGCGGCTATGGGGTCCAACTGCTTCTTCTTGACAACTTCCACAAGATTCGCTTCCTCGCGAAGCTCTTCACCTGTAAGTATGGCTCGGTACAGGCCAAAGTAGGTGTTGGGCGGGAGGACAGGAGATGTGAACCATATCAGGGGCGGGTTTCCCTTCCCTGTTCGTCGCACCGGATCTTCGTTTTCGTCGTCTTCACCCGCCGTGGGAGTTCTGTTCCTTTCGGCGAGAGTGGCTTGCTTCTTCAGCAGTGCTGTGAGAGTGGTCTCCTTGCGGCCCGCCTCATCTTCGTCGTCTTCTGACTCTTCCGAGTCTGAGCCCGAAAGACTCTCGTCAAGATCTCCGATCAACTTTTCAAACTCATTTCCCGACACCGGTTTTGCGCCACGCAGCTTTTGCTTTAGATTGTAATGGTGCCAGTCGGACTTTTGATGGCTTCGCTGGTCGAGTACGGAGGAGAAGGTCGCCGCGCATAGCGAGCAGGCTTGGGAGCCGACGAGATCGGAGTTGGCAGTGTCTTTGGCTGGAGGCGATGGTGGGGTCTGATCTGGGATCGAGGCGTCTGACTTCAGCGAGAGTGTCGTCAGCACTTCGGGCGGGAGGTCATAGACTGCGACTTGGTTAGCCCGCAATGGCAGAGTAGAGGTTGGCTAAGAGAACGAACCGTAGAGCGGCCGCTTGAGGAGGTCTGGTGTTGTTTTCGGATCCATCTTGACCATTCCTTGCGCCTTTACAGGTGTTGTTCTGTACAATGAGGAATCAATTGCAACGGTTGCTGTCGTTTGCGCCGTCGCAATGATTTAAAGCTCGGGATGGCGGGGCGCCTTCATTGGCATGACGAATAGCTCGACTTCGGGGTTGAGTCAGCCGGTGAGTGTGCAGTGGAGGTCGAGCCACATCTTTGGGAAGCCACAAAGCCCCGCGATTTGTGGCGGTGCGGTGATCTCGAATCTAGACCAAAGTGGGGTTAACCAATGAGACACCGATGAACGGCAAACCTGGTTGGGGTCAGACAGGGGTCCTGACGAAGTGAGCTGAAATGACATGAAATGGCGGGCATCACGTCACCAAGCGTGGATTAGCTCCATGTGCCCTCCCTTCTTAGCTTTGTTGCTTGTTTGCAATTCTTGGCAAAGAGGGAGCCTCCCAGGTCTGTTCGCTGCGGTGTGTTGCAAGGCATGCTCGTCTCCTCGGCCTCCCTTTCGAATGCACGTCGCGCTGGCTTTTCCAGCTTTTCCCACGTCTCATTTCACTGCTACTGCATCAAGAGCCGTGCTGACCAGAAACTTGGCCTGCGTCAGTGGCCCCTGCCCGGCTGATGATGTAACTCCATTAATTTGCGGGCGGCCGGCAAGCGCGTAGTGTATCGCGACTTCCAAACCAATAGAGCTGGCTCCCGCCAAGACAACTTGAACAGGCAGGAAGGTGCTACTAGTCTGAGCCACCATGGTACCTATCTCGATGACCCCGCTTTGGTGACGGTTTTCTGTGTCTTCCGCGTGTGACATCCTTCTCACTACAAGTAGCCAAGCCCGTCCCTCTCCCCAACAGCTGGCTTCTCCTCCATTACATCAACCCTCAATAACCATTCACAGTTGACCGACTCTCTCCGCCTACCAATCACCCCAACAAACCCCCTCACTCGACACAAATAACCACTCATCATGGATTTCGTCAAGAACCTTGCTGGAGGCAACAACAACGACGCCGCCTCTTCCTCGGCTGGCCAGCCCGAGAAGAAGGAGTCTGGCGGCTTCATGGACAAGCTCAACGGCATGGCCGGCGGTGGTCAGGAGAGCGAAAAGAACGAGGACGGTGTTGACAAGGGTATGTGCTTTCTTTTCCACAATCATTCCGGCGTTGTCGTGCAAAGATACTGACACAATAATCAGCCGTCGACTTCGTCCAAGAAAAGCTTCTCGGCCAAGGTCCTCAGGACAACGAGAGCGCCGCTGAGCAAGCAAAGGATGAACAAATTTCCGATTTCCTCCGGGGCCAGTACAAGAACACGACCGGCAAAGAGATTCCCATCGAGGACAAGGAGAGGAAGTTTGGCTTTTAAATGAATGCTTGTTCTGTCAACGACGCATCGGCGGACAAGTCCCGCCAAATATCCGACTTCGTGGCTGAGCAGCCTGAAAATGGGAGTTCGGCAACCTTGATTTGGATGGAAGGGACGAATACGAAGCACCTGAAGATGGCCCTGGAATGGGACTTTGAACATTGTACCTAGTAACACCTGCGATAATGACGACTTCAGCGACTTCATATCACGTCCTTTGTGCCCATCCGTCTTTTTATATTGATCTTGCGGGCGGCACCTTTGCCGCATCAACGCTATAGCTTGCGGCTGAGCACTTTTTTCGAAACCCCACATAGAGCCGCGATTGAGTGGTTACAGTTGCATTGTTTGGGGCATACCTTTGTTCACGCCGTTCGCGTTGTTTCTCGAGCTCTTGTCTACACAACCGTGTCAATCAAACCATGCCACAATGTTCATCATTGTTCACTCTCCATATTGCAGCGTCTTCTCCAGCGTCTAGTATAAGAGAAAGTTTGAACTTCCATGACCAAACTTGTGTCTTATCACCAACAGCGTTCACCTATCTAATTCCTTCATCGCTTGTAATAATTTCAGACAAATTCAACGAGGACTCTAGTCCAGAAGAAGTCAACGGCAAGTAGGTACCTTCACTCTCCTGTACTACTAACATTTGATAGTTGCGATCCAAGCTTCACGCTCGCAAACATGTGCTTCACTCAAAAGACAGTCTTCACCATCTGCGCTCACTACATCATAGAACTCGTCGAGTGCACAAAGTTCCAAAACAATCCAGACAAGACCGGTCGCCACGCCTGCATCGTGCCCCTCTGCCAGCACTCGCAAGCCCTAGCTACCGCCTTCGGCTTCTGCAATGCGTGCAGGGCTGCCTACGTCGGCCTGAACGTCTCTTACCTAAACGCCACCAACATCTTGTTGAATTTCTGGAGCTTCAAAGCGGCCCAGAAATGGAACTACGCCGTAGACCCGTCCCGTGTACCTGTCATGGCCCTCATGAGCCCCACAAAGGTGCTATGCAAATCATGGTTTGGCTGTGTACAGACTTACAAGGAGGTGGGTTTGGGCATGGTCATGGCCCTGTCGGTTCAGTCATTAATGAATGCTCTCGGAGAGCCGGTCACGACGAAATCCTGCGACTTGTGCCGGGCGAATCATTGCAAAGACATTAATCGGATTGCGATTGGGATGAGGGAGGCTACCATCGGTTGGGCGCGTGGTCTTAAGCTCCCCGAGCAGATCTTCAAGTCGTACGAGGCATATCACGGATCCACTAGTCCCAGCGTCGAGAAGGAGCTGAACCTGACAGCTTGCAAGAACCAATCTCACGAGACAAGGGCTTCGAGTCAAGTTTCACAGCAACAGCGTGCGCCCCAACCGCCTTCCGCGTCACCAATGTCGAGCGAAGATTTCCCAATGCGTATCCCCGTGAGAAAAGCGACGCGCCTCGCAAAACGGCTCAACGCAAAGGTGCGGATGGAAATAGTCATCCAGGAGCGTGAAGAGATGTTCAAAATACTCGAGGCTGAGCACAAAAGACGAGTCAGTGAACTTCAGGCACAGGTTGACCTAGATGAGGCGGGCGTTTCCGCAGGCCCGTCGAGAACGAGTGTACACGACACAAGAGTCGGCCCTTCCAATCCTCCGAATTTTGTATACCATAACCTTACTCGCCACAACGCTCTGAAAACTCCGTCCCCACATGCATCGCCGCGGTCTAGCCCTTCTGGAGGAACATCGGAGGTCTTCAGCGGCACTTGGGAGCGTGAGCCGTTCGGCCATGTGCCTGCGAACACCGGTTTCGAGCTTTTTGAATCGCCTCGCAGGGACAACGGTCTCCGTCATCAAGAGTCCTCGTATGCGGATCTTGTCGGCGGGTCTGATGAGTTTCTGTTCGAGCGGCGGCGGGCTCGGCGGTCGCAGTATGGCGAGACAGTGAACCACGAAGAGTTTCTTAGTGACAAACGGTTCTCTTTTGGACCATCCCCGCCGAGCCACTTCGTAGGAGGAGTCCGCAGAGTATGGCGCATCGAAGACGAGTTTTCTGGAGGGGATCACCCAGAATACCCCCGAAATGAGTGTCGGAAGAAGAAAGAGTATCCTAACAAGCAGTACCCCAAGGATGAGTATTCAAGAAGCAACAGCTACGGAAGAGTCCACGACACTTGTTTTTATGAAGACCCGTACTACAATGAGGATGACGGAAATGCTAATGAACAGGGACAAAGCATACAGGAAGATACAATCGATGAGCACATCAACTTTTACCTCGACGATGACTCACTTTCGATTTCCGAGCGAGTCCGCCCCTTGACCTACATATCACCACAAGGATCGCATCACAGTTCTAGGCCTTTGTCTCCACAAACGCCCTCGCCCCCGAGCCTTCGCAACGCGGATGCACTGCCAGACATCCCACCTGTGTCCCCCCTTCACCTCACCGAGTTTAGTTTCTTGGCTGACCTTGCAGAGCGTTCGGTCAAGTCCTCCAATCCGGCCAGCCGGGAATGCGACGCATCTAATGCTGAGTTTTCCATGCAGGCTGCGGATCCGGGGTTAGACGGCGCTCTAGGTGAAGCCACTGTTGGTTCCACTTCTCGGGTGTCGTCGGGTGTGGCCCCACTTCTTGGACCGGAGATCCGGGCTGTCGCGCCGCCGCGTCCGTCGCGGGGTCCGATGATCTGCATCACTCATTGTGTCGAGAGGCAGAATGATTGCCAAAGATGCAAGGCGGGGGCATTGCATGAGGTTAGTTTAAAGCCTGGAGAGCGTATGAACTTACCCGAGCCTGAGCAATTTTGAGGTGAGCTTTGGTTTTGTATTTTAGGGGGGTTTGTATGCATTCTCTACAGTTTTCCATTTTGTTCAAGGATACATAATTCATCTTAGACTTTTACTATTTCAACGGTATTTAACGCAAAAGACACTCACAACGGTAGAGGAGGATGCGGCACAGCGAGTCATGTCCCAGCCTTTGGTTGCCGATTTCCTAAAGTAAAGCTTAAGAGAAAAGGTCGAAAATGCTGGTTCGTACAAAGCGGCAAACGAAAAAAGGCGGGTAGTCCCTGTTCCTGCCTGTAACCTACGTCGCTGTCGTCGTCTGTCGGTCCTCGAAATTGAAAAGGACGAAAAGCCGACTGACGTTTCAGGCACCAGATTTCTTTACCGCCCTAGCAAAGCTTGATCTGCAGGGGAGAAGACATATATAGTGCTGGGCCGCTGCCTCGCAGCGGCGTTAAATTATTTTCTAACTGTAGGGACCCAACGGTCATCTGCTCATTCCGTTGTAACCCGAAGCAGTGGGTTGGGATGAGCCTCGCAACTAGGTAGCATCTGCTACTCCGCCCCTGAGTTTCTTAAGTTGAATTACTTAGAGATTCTCTTGCTTCCCTTTGAACCTCGAGTTTTTACGTGGTGCCTGCTTCTCCGTTGATCCATCACAGCAAACTGAATAGAATGTTGTCTCTTACTGTTTGCCGCCATCATCTCCAATTGAGTCGAACCGAACACCCTCTAACAAGCATCCTGAGTCTATCGTGACAGCCCGGTTTCGCTTACAACTCGATTGTCGCATCGGCGGTCCTACTGCCGCATCAACAGCTCCTACTCAGAACCCCTCCTGCCTTGCCGGCCGCGCGCAAATGTCTACGTCGAGCTGCGCTCAGGAAATGACACATCAATAGAGCGGCCCATCATGGATCCAACACCTTGACCAAACCCGCGCGTGCTGTCCGAACGCACGAAGATACTAATGGCAGTAATCGAAGCGCAATCAGATTCAGTCCTCATAGACCGCCACATGGAATTAAAAAGCTCAGACGACTTCGACCGTTCGGAAAATCTGTCATCATTTGGAGTTCGCAACGTCTCCCGAGATCACAGCGCTTTGCTCGGAAGATAATAATGCCATTTTCGCCAGGGCACGCAACGCCCGCCTCATCATGAGCGATATCGTACCGGACATGGCCAGCGATGACGTCAAGCCCTATTGTATCTGGTATCCTGACGTGGCCAGCGAAGACACCTATCGGAAGCTTGCTCAGCGTTATCCTGACATGCGATACCATGTTGGCCGTGCTAGTGCAGCTACAGGCTATGATACGCTGTATAAAGAACTAGACCTCCTTCCCGAAATCTCCATCGCTGAGGAGGCGCGTGATAACAAACGGAACGGTGCGCCCATATTCAAAGATATTGTCAGCCGGCCTGTGAGGTACAAGGTGCTGGATGATTACACGAGGACGGCGAATCTCCAAGCTCCCGAAGCTGGAGCATACCTGAACGGTCAAACAACCGTACGCTCTTCGTTGCCTGGCGTGAAAAAGCGAGAGCATGATCCCCATTATGATCATTACTTTAATATCCAGGAGGATGGGAGAGTCGGCGAACCCAGTGACCCGAGCGTTCACCAAAAGTTGGAGGATGAGCACATGTCTCTTCTTTATTCCCCGCTACCCAGGGACTTGCCCACCACCAACAAGGACGTCCTGATCATCATGGCCGTCTGGGACGGCAACATTGATCGCTATTCCCGGCTACGGCGGCCAAAGCGTATCGCCAATGAGATATCTGCAGTGATTCGAGGCATACACTACCACACTCCGTTTGCTCATTGGGTCGAGACACACCTCAAAGACTCGTTTGCGTACAAGGAGTGGAAAGTGCTCCGACAAGCCCTTCACGCCCGTTTCATCATGAATAACGACCTTTCGCGCATTCATGGGGAAGTCGACGGCGACGAACTGCTCCATATTTTCTGGTGGCCTCATTTTCCCTACCAGAATACCCTTCGCGAACTGGCTTGGCGGCGTCCAGATTTGAAGGGCCAGGTCGCGATCGCTTGCATCACTGCCAACTACCAAGACGTCAACGATGAGCTCAAAGCCGAACCAAGTCGGTGGCAGTGGGAGGCCGCTTGCCAAAGCCCCAATCCCCACTACCGCGGAGATATTGAGCGGCGCGCGGCGGAACAGGGCATCGATCTCGAGACCGAGCTCATAGAATTCGAGTTTGGTGTGCCCGCAGTCTGGAAAGAGAGAAAAGCCTTCCTCCAGTTCAAGAAAGAGAGCACCGGCCTTCCCGAAATCCCCGAAGCGCTCGTCAACACTCCGTATGTGCACGGAGACGATCCGTACGCCTGGGAAGACTAGTGGTTCGAGCCCGGCCACGTTTTTGACACCCACGTGGCGCTCACCGTTGCTGATTGGAACACGTTCATCAGCGCGACAGACGAGGCAAGGAAGCGGCCGGGTCGTTTGTATTCGTCAAAGAAAGATTTCGAGCGTCGGCGCCTGACGTCGCCGCCCTACGCTTCGTTTCGGAAAACTTTTAAATACGCATCACGATACGCTCAGGATCCGGGATATTGAAGACCTATTATTTTTGGGATTGCAAAAAGGAGAAACTGGTACAGATTTCTTAACCTTGTGGTGCGATTTGAGAAAGCAGAAACTAGAAGAACAAGGGCACCGGACCGCGAAGCTCCCAGAGCTTCTTAAGAATGTACAAGGCCCCGTGAACTCTTTCGATGTGGCTGCTCCACGCTGAACCGTTGTCGATCAGCTAGCTCTAGTTACAGACCGAGGCGAGCACAGTGGTCTAATTTGCGACGCTTGATCATGTGCACATTTTGCGTATGTCTGGTCCTACTTGCCCAAGGTTGAAGGTGCCACAGCCGAACAAACACCGCTCTATCTGCCATACTATAAGTCGCACGTTCCTATTCACACTTTGATACTCAAACCACAATGTCCGAATGACTAGGCGCTATTCCACATCCACCCAGTCTTTGTAGGATGGATGGGGGCATTGTCGTCCCGCCAGAAGCTTGCAACTTCTAGAAGACTATACGACAGCTCGCGCGTCTAGCTAGAGAACCATAGCAAAGACTAGTCTAGGGAGATTTCCGGCAACGTGAACTGGCCAATAGATCGCTTTGAAGACGGGTTTGGAATTCGAAAGGACTTAGTTACTCCGATGTGGTTCCAGGCATCCTTCCTCGCGGTTGAGTCCATGCATGCTATTTACAGATGGCAGAACTTAGATACTCAGTTCCGTGCCCATGACCTACCTGTTCGTCTTCGTCCCTCTTTGGAAAGTTGAGATTTCATATTGTTCAGTCTATTATAAACCAGTCCCAGTAAAGCATAATCACGCTCCAAGGTTACATGGTAATTAGTTTAATTGTCAGTGATCCTCAATATGACAGCACGTAGAACTGCTTTGAGGCCTAGTGACTCGCACTACTAGCAGTGTTAGATAGGTTGTAGCATTATTTGACAGCTTTTGGGCCAAACATTAGCAGCCCTAGTCCCACGCCAGCAACGCCAGTCGCCTTCTCGCGATAATGATATTGGGTTCCCCGTACAGCTTTATTCTCTGTGGCGGGCTCAGGGTCATCTTCAACGCTCTGGAGTGAGTGATGCGCTCTTACATGCTGTCAGCAAATGTATATCCAATATCTAGCAGTCAAGAGCGCGTAGCCTTGAAGCTAGATGAGCGTCACGCCGGTTTGGGTGTTCTCAGGGAGAACGCTATCCGCATGACTTTACTGCATATATACGTTGATGCTCAAGAGTAACTTGGGATGCTAGCCCCCCCTTTAATATTTTGCTCCCTTGTTTGTCACTTGACGGGATATGACTTGGCCTTCGCAAATCGTCATCGTATTCCCAAAGAACATCCTGCGAGAGCAGACTGAAGACATACTTACCTTTGCCTACCTCGATGAGGACAGTCTTTGCGTCGTCCTCAAGGACATTGACCGCCCCATCGCATCAAAATTCACCAAGACTCCATCGACGAAGCGAAAAGTATCACCCTCATTCCATACGTCCGCCTTCCAATATGTATATCCGTTGCTGCGGCGTCTCTGTTGCTCACTCATAACTCCTCAAATCGGTCCAAGAATGAAGTCTCCATTGTTTCGGCACGTCTAGTCTTGTCTCTATAGACGATAGCAAAGTTACTCAGTGACTTCGTCTCTCTTGTCTTCATTGCGGTCAGCACCGTTCCCTCTTGTCCAACATTTGTCCCAATCTCATAAAGCTCCTGATGAGCTATGCTTTACAGCTAATCGACAAACGTACCAGGTCGACGCTTGAAAGCTACGAGAACCTCCATCTCAGAAGCTTGAATAGCATATGCGCGGTCTTCAGAAGATTCGTGAAGATCTCCTGAACTGGGCATTCTTCTGCATCTTCATCTACGGTATCAACTGGTTTACCAACCCTCATGGCCGAGAGGAACAGATGCCGGAGGCTGTAAAAGGCTTGGCAGGTGTGTGTTGTAAATAGTCAAGTGCTGGTTTTAAGACGTTTTCGGCCAGACCGTGTCAAAGACTTCATAGTACATTTGTTTGACGAGAGGGATGTCATGGATATATCCCGCCGCTGTCGACACGAAGATGTAACGGTCACATAGGAATAGCACAGAGCATGACGGAATCGAGTATATCCACAGTTTCAGGTCACAGTCTCCAACTCGCTCAAGGTTCAAGCAGAGTGACCGCGGAGCTTTTCAGTAAGGTTGTTAATAGAGGTAACAGAGTAGATCATGAACACATGTCGTGCTGTCAGGGCTCGATACATGGCCGCATACATCTTGCCTTGCCCGAAAGCTCGTAAAAGCTCACTAGGGCTTTCTTCTAGGTTCAATACGATTTGAATCTGGTCTTAGGCGCTCCGTAGCCGATTTGCTGCAAAACCGCATGTCTCGAACCGATTTCCAAGAGTACGATCAGTTCATGCTTCAACAAGTCTGCCCTGGCCTTTCGCCATCATCGGAGTGAAGTTCAACTACGATTCAGGCAACCTCACATAAAGGTTTAACTTATCACAGCCTCATCAACTCCTCACTGCCTCACCGCTGGTTCTTCCTCGCCTCTATCCAGAAATCCCATCATCCACCATTTCACCCTGCTGGTACAACACGAGTAGTCCCTTCGCCTGACGCGTCTTCTAAGGGCCATGGGCCCTGTAAACGCGTCGCTCCACCCACGGAGAGCCAAACCGCGTCGCCCATGTCAATCTTCACCTCGCCGGCCCTAGGACCCTGTTTTCCGCCCACTTTTCCTCTCACAAGTACTATGTATGGTACGTAGCGTCCTTAGCCTATCTCATTCCGTGGCCTCCGACTCCTTGCCTTTCCTCCAGGCTTCTCGTCTGCCGAACAAGGTCTCTGTCGCATTCCTCTTAACGTAGCATCGACATCAAAGGTGTCATTCTCAGCCCGCTCCCAAGGGTAGCCGCCGCCGTTCCATACAAATGGCTTTCTGCTCACCTTGGGGTTTCAATATCGTCCATCTGCTATGGCTCCCAGACCAGAAAGCTCAAGGAATGTCCACATCCACTGGACCCTCTCCAAGATTGGGTGGGCATTACTCTCTCTCAGACCGTCGGACGCGATCCTGACAGCAAGTTGACAAAGCACCCTTGAGCATGCTTTCCATCAAGAGCGTGTTAACCCCCACGCACGTGGAGATTGGAGAAGACGGACAGGTTTTTTGCGCTGCTGGGGGCCCTCATCCCAGAACTTGCATGGGTATCCATACCAACGTATCGTTCTCGCTGCCAAATATTCCCTGAACCGCGCGCACCATGTCGTACCTTGCTGGTTTGCTTGCTTGCCTGCCTTGCCCCCATGCCGCCCCCTTCTCACTGCCCGCATGCCTAAATATAGTGGAACAATGCCTGTCGCCGATGCCACTGCATGATGCAGGGGGAAGTTGGAGTGAGGAGCCCGCCGCGCCCATGGGTGGTTCCAGGCTGTTCACCTCATTTATGCCCATCCTGACCCATATTCGGCATTGAGTGGACGCGTACTCCGTGGACGCATCTAGGGGCCCAGAGCCTGCACCCAAACGGCGGAGTCTGGCGGGGTTGAGTAGGCAATAGCAGTTTGGGCGGCCCTCGTTCATCCGGGGAGCAGGAAGACTGGGCACCCCCAGCAAAGAACACAGACGCGGTCGCTGCACGACGCGTCTGCTCTATTGCACATATCAACCTGCTTACGTGGCGTACATATTTACTGCCTGATTGCGAGAGATGGATTTCGCGGCGTCGATCTCTGCTTGCAGAAGGTTGCGAGAATGCGGCGTAGGAGACGAATTCAGGAACCTATCCCAAGGTTCAGGCATAAGTTGAGTAGGGTCACGCCCCACCCCAGACAATCTCGCGCTGTTTGGCGATATCTGAACCGAGGTAAAGGACAAAGAAGTTGGCGCCTGCTACCTGTAAATCGAATCCGTAGTGTCTGTAACCGTATGCATTCGTCATGAGGCTTCGTAAAGCACAGTTTTGCGTAGGCGACAGGACGTGATCCTGGAATTCAACGGCGCGATCGACAACCACTATGTTGAATGAGCTAGGCTTCCCATAGTGCCGCATCCCAAGACTCGAGCAAGGCGGTTTGGATTTCGACTCCCATATTTTGAGGATATGTATACGTTGGCACCTCCGAGTCCTCGTTGTCTTCTACACTCGGTGCTTTATCTGTCTTCATGGTGAGCAGCTGCTCCCAAGGGTGCTGGCAGCCAGCCCACCGGTTCCGGTTTACTCCTGTTAATTGCTTTCGATATCAGATTTGCCATTCCACGCTGTTCTGTGACCACAATCCTACAACCAGTCATCGATGAAGATCCAATAGTCGCAGGGGCAAAAAGATAAAATAGACATAGTTATTGTATATATATACGTAAGATGCAAGTGGGAATGCTGAGATGAAACCTATTCTTGGGAAAATTGGGAAATACTCAACGCTTAATTGACAGCGATGAGCGGTTCTTTGGGCGGTGAGCGCCTCGGGATAAGATATAAGGTTTCTCAAACCTCAAGACACAACCTTTGCCGCCATTAGCTACCGACGTAAAGCATAGACTAGTTAGTGTTCTGGACCTTAGCTCCGCGTGCTAGTACTGACAGCTGCAGTGTGCCACCTTGCCGTCGTACTTGATTACTCAGATGGTTTAATGTTGCAGAGATTGGCCGTTGAGAAATTTGGTTTTGCCCGACGATAAATTAGGTGTAGATGCCTCAGCGAAAGTGGCCGGTAGTCTGTATTGGATGTCTGCCTATCCGCCGCTCGCCAGGGTTCCTATCGTGTCATGTGGTCTAGCCGCAAAGATCGTCATCAGTAAAGACACCAAGAAGAC